AAAAGCTGTAACCTCAACTACTTTTAGCTAGTTAAAAAACCAACAAATTCAACATCTATAAGAAGAGCAAGCAATTCCCTCCTCAAAGATCAAATTATCAAAATCCAAAGGGTTGTCCCCTAGTAGTGACCAGCTTCAAAGTATGTATTTCTGGTGACAAATATGTTAATAGTTACAGAAATAAGGCATCTAGGCCTTGGAATGACAATGATGTTAGTTAGACGGAGAATGAGATTGGAAGCAATCAATGGGGCTAAGGAGAAGTAACCTGGGGAGTAAAGATACAACTGCTGAAAGGATGGTCATTCATGATTTCTCCAAGTTAAATTCTCTATTATTATTTTTCAATAACAATAATTGGCAAAATAAGAGTAAACAACCAGGTCATTCATTAACAATAGCTATCTTACATTAGCCTTTGATTATTCTCATCATTTGCTGCATCTCCTGAGACTTTTGTGTTTCTTAGATTCCATCAGATTGCCATGTGTACTAGATAGTCTCCACATGTGTGTGTGTGTATATATATATTCATATTGTTTAAAGATGTTTGTCATAGGGTGGGGATGGTTCGTTATAGGTGATGGTTTTGGAGAAAATAGATCCAAATCAAAGGCAAGAAGCTTGGTTTAGTTTGACTTCTAATTCATCTTGAGATATTGTGACAAGCCCCTCAAAAAATAAATTTTGATGTATATATATTGATCTACATTCCCCTTTTTTGGTTTTATTGCTCTATTTTCTCCAACTAATTTAGTTTTTGGGATAACATCAGACAAAACGATTCAAGTTTGCTATGATCTCAGTTGTGGTCATGTCAAGGATCCAAAAGTCCTTCATTATTTGAGAAGTGGATCTTCTGAATCACATAATAGCTAAGAAAATATTCCAAAATGTTTCATGTGAGCTGTTCATCAACATGGAGAGGACTTGTAGAGGCTCATGATATCGTAAAATAGCCGTACTACAAAGAGTTACTCGTTATTCATAAAATATGAACTATTAAACGGAAATTATTAGCCAAGTTATTTTTTCCATGGGACCTGTTTAATTCCATGTCTTCATCATCGTCATCATCTTATCATTCAAAACCCATATTTCTTCCCGAAACCCATATCTTTTGTCAAACAAATGATCATTTATGGCCGAGATGGGAGATCCTGGGGTGGCGACGCGTGTCAGTTGTTATGCAGGCTAGTTGCCCGCATCCTCTGATCTATGGCTTCTGTCTCCCGGTTCTTCCAGTGACACCCCTCACTCACCGGCATCACACGTCAACCAGGAGCAGGTCGCGGCCACTTCCGCTGTAAATGCCCTAGTTTCGTCGCCAGTCTCAGATTCTCCTTGCCATGTATCTAATCTCTCTCTCTCTTTCTCTCTCTCTCCCTCCCCCCAAGGTGAGTGAAGTAGAGTTTAATAAAGCTTAGCTTAGCTTACCCTAAACATGAAACTAACATGAAGAAGCGAACAGAAGTCATTTCATAAAAAATTTAAAGAAAATCAACGACAAGGTCGCGATGCACCATAAAAAACGACAGTTCCCATTCCACTCCCCTCAATTCCTCTCCACATCATCACACCATGGTCGAACAGGAAGTTAAGAATCTCCTACTTCGGATCCAACCGAGGGTACCCAGACCGGTACTCGATCCGCCTCCCTTTGCCCCCGGCGCCACCCCTCCGGCTGCAAGGATATTCGACTGCAAATAAGAGCTCCTGAAGAGTAAAGAATTCCGCATCTTCGTCACACAGAGAGATAGGTAGATTGAAAGGTAGATTGAAAGATATCTCGTATATTTATAGATACATAGATATGCAGAAGATAGGTAGATTGAAAGATATCTCGTATATTTATAGATAGATAGATGGATGGATGGATGGATGCATAGATAGATAGATAGATAAATTTAGATAGACAGAGATAGAGAGAGGGGAGCCTGAGGCAACTGATCAGGATTCCTGGCCGTTGTTGATAGACGAGGACTTCTGAACAAGCTCAAATGACGATTCTTCACAAAAGTTTCTCCTCAAATGTCATATATCCAAACTCCAGAATCACACAGAGAGTCTTGGTCTTAGGCCTCGCTTTGAAAGGGGAATTACGATCGTACCGACTAAGGTGCCTCCACTACCGCCTCTTGTGGGCCTGTACTGCTGATGACGGGGACGACATTTGATCGGAGAACCTTGCCACCGACGTCGGGGTAGCCAGGGATGTAATCAAGCGGATCAGCTATGAGATCCCCAAGATCAGCAACAGTGGTATCAACGTTGGGATTCCTCTGGAAATTTCAAACAAGATGACCATCATTAGTCAGAACCCAGAAATTATCCCAATTTCCAATCGAGATTCTTCAATCGATTCACCGCTTGGGTCCCTATTGATATTTCGAACAGCGAAGATTATTGCGAAGATGGCAACTTTCACCAAAGGTTTTTTACCAAGATAATCTCCTGGCTCCTCTTGGAATTTCAAACATTGCAGATTATTGATATGATTACGACATAGGCCACCGACCTTTGAATAGGTCACAAAAGAAAAAGAGATGCTCAGGAGTACAAGCTTCCCACATTTTATAAATTTCTTAAACCATTGTTAACATCTCATCTTTTAGTAATGCAACAATATAAAAAGGTTTGTACTTATAGATCGTCCATAGGGCAATTTATTGGGAGATGTAGTATCTTCAAGAGAATCAGCAATGAGACCATCTTGATAGAAGTTCCTCTCCTATCACTTTACCAAGGGCTTATCTCGGTTTAAAATCATCGTAAACGTGCTATGAGTAGATGGGGGATCCAGGATTTTGTAAATTCTTGGACATGACGCTGAAATTAATTTTATTCCTTACGGAATCTAGTAAACATAAATGACGTAGACAGAAAGATCTGAAGCAACATATTTTCAATATGATATTATTTAGAAATATTGCCTGCCCTCCGCTGAGCTCGAACTTGCATCCTTGTAGCCTCCCTCTGCATGCGAGTTCCATGAGCTGCATGAATGCTCTGAACAGAGGAACTAAGGGACTTATCAAATGTCCACCTGCCCAAGAAAATCGCAGCACAGAATTACGTCACAGTAATTGGACGGTTTGGAGTTTGATTAAATCTAAAAGCCTCGGTGAGAATCGTCGTATCATATGTTTCCATACCGTGCTTATTTTCTTTTGTTCTGACCGAGTTCAATTAATTTATTTTACATATTTTTGGTCGATTTATTGGGTGGTCTTTCCGAATTGTGATCCTCTCACTGACTAGAGCCAGTGTTAATATATCACTTTTATGAAGATATAACATTAACTAATTTCGTAAAATGATAGCATGAAAATGTACTTGAGGGATGAAGTCACTTGAGATGAAGTCTACTTGAACATTAGTTGAAAGCTCAGTCTGGATAATTATGGTAGTTTTGAAGGAAACTTGCAACTCGTTTTTTTATTCATCATGTTACGTAGATTTTAAAATTAATATATGTGTATCCTTGGCCTTCTTATGGCCAACATCTTGGAGCATTAGCTGGGCCAATGTTCATTCCGGTTTCACTACCGTTTTGACGTTACCATCCTGACTCCTAGGCAGAACTGGTACGTTTCGCCATAAAGCGACCTAACCCACTTAATCTACAGCATAGCGTGACCTCACTTTCTAATATTTGGTAGGATTGAGAAACTTGATAACAGCATCTATATTTTTCAGGTTTGAGATATGTTAGAGGTCCAAAAAATAAAGAAACTACACATGTTATGTATAGTAAACTCAGGTTGGAAAGGCATGGAGATGCTTGTCATTAGATACAATTTGGATAAGTCACTGTCTTCATCTAGCAAATTCTCTATCTAGCTAATGCGTTTTGCCTTCTCCCCATTTTCACGTCTAGGACCAAGCTATATATTTCTAAAATGCCAAAAGTGTTGACACTATATCAAGCAACAATTTCATGACCACTCAAGTTTCATGGACACAATCATACCTTTTCATTTCTGATATTTGGGAAACCATGAGTTTCAAATTACTAGTAGAGGGCCCACCACTTCTAGCCCTAATGCTAATAAACGCATTGCCAAGGCAAACGTTTGCTAAATTCTGAAGGTTTCTGTTAAAAATCACATCTTCATATATGCTGATGTTATACAAAGAATCATGAAAATTTAAAAGTCAGATCTTCCAATAATTAAAAAAGAAAATTATACTGAATTGAAAAGGAATGAGCAATTAGTTGCCAATCAACCAGCACTCCTCACTAAAAAGAGAGGACACAACATATTTCATTTTATCAGAGACAATAATGCAAGCACATGCACTTATTGCATGCAAGAAAGGTTTATATTGTGGTAAAATGTGGGTGGGAAATTGTACCAAATGTCACCAATCTGATAAACTAATGTTCGGCATCTAAGCCGCTTGTTAAACTACTTACAGAATTGAAAAGATGAACACATATCTATATATTGACGTGTAAAATATTTATTAAGCGCTTTATAAAATTGCATAAAATATTCCAGAGTGATTCTTGTCGAGGGTGAACAGAACATCAAAGGCTTGAAATTATCTTGAGATGAAGTTACACATAGCCATTGGTGGGAAGCTGATGATTACACAAAAGTATTCGATGTGATTTGAGGGGTCGAAAGGTTCAACTTACGTTGTGCTTTTTGGGTTTTTTATGCTTCTTGTAAATCTATTTAGCAATGTCGTGAGAGAGAGAAAATGGTAGTTTGGTGGATATTCCTATTAGGTATTAAAATATTGGGGGCATATGTGTATGGTACTAATAACAGTTTTAGGTTTTTGAAAGGTAAAAAAAACATTTTTATCAATTTTTTGTTTAAATTATTAGTATAGATAAAAAGGAACAGGGCCGAAGGCCGCGGGCCGTGGTCTTGCACTCACGAGAGAAATATGTACTCACTAAACTATCATTCGGGCTGTCGAGGAGCAGCGTCTCCTTCTCCCCCTTCTCTGTGGGCGGCAGAGCTTGCGCCGGCGTCTTCCTCCGCATGGCAGCATCGCTTTTCAAGGCCCTCAGGCTGCGCAGATTTCTCCTCTCTGTCCCGAGGAATGCTAGCACTGCGCAAGCAGTTGACACTCGCGCGTCGTCCTTCTCCGGAGGACCACTTTCAGAGCCCCCGACGTCCGCGCCCTCATCTGCTGCTGTGGCGGCGTCCATTAGTGGAGGTCATCTTTATCTTATTTTGTCGACAGTTGAGTTCTTTCTGGATCGTGAGTCTTTGCGTTGGGTTAAGTAGCGGGGAACGAACTCATGTGGTTGCTTGTTTCAGGGAAAGAGGGAGGAGCCTGGTCGAAGTTGCTGCTCTTCCTCCCTGGGGCCGTAACATTCGGCCTTGGAACCTGGCAGATCATTCGAAGGAAGGAAAAGGTCGATATCCCTCATTTCCGGATCTTCCAACGAGTGTTTGAAATCCCTAACGGCTCCTCTAATATTATTTTCTCCTTTATGATAGATAGAGATGATAGAGCACAGGCGAAAGAGATTGGCAATGGAGCCTATAGCGTGGAGCAATGTAACTTCTATAGATGAAGATCTCGAATCCCTGGAATTCAGGAAAGTGGAATGTGAGGGTGTTTTTGATGGGAGCAAGTCCATCTACATCGGTCCTCGATCCAGAAGCATATCTGGAGTGACAGAAAATGGATACTATGTAATCACCCCTTTACTTCCCGCGAGAAGAGAATCCAACAGGTAACCTTGCGGATAAAGTTGAGAGCACGTCTATTTGGCATCTAGTTACTTTGCTCTCTTGATCTGGACGTCCTTTCATTTTGTTTCAGTGAGATGAAGAACTTTATGCACCACATCCATCTTCCCTTCAGAGATTCAGATCTTTGATCAAATTATGAAAATAAATTTATGAATTAAAGCTGATCCATAGTTAGTTGTACATGATTTTCCCTTTTGGGGTGTCATTGGACGTCTTATTCACCATCCGTTAAAGCTTTTATGTTTTTTTGGCTGGGTAAAATTCTTCAGATTCCCTTAAAAATAAATATGGTTTATGTAAATCTCAAACTGGTTGGGGAAGGAGAGCAAAAGCTAGAAAAGTTGCTGTCTTGAAAGGAAAAGAATGAAAAGCACCCATATGATACGGGTGGAGACTTCAATATCAAGAGGACTTGGGAGGAAACTCCAAGGGGACAGATGTTTTCCGGTCGACAGTTGAGAATTCTGTGTCTATTCTTCACCTCTTTCAACATCAGATGGGGGATATACTAATCTAGTTATGTTCTTATCGAATATTGATCTGTAGACCACTTTCTAGAGATGTAGGGCCATTAACAATTAATAAGGAATGCTAACAGAAGTAATTTATATTGGTGATTTGGATATGAGGATAAGATCAATTTTTCAGAGAAAATTTGATGTAGAATTCATAGTGTATGAAGAAATACCTAAGTTTTGGGTGTCATCCGTTTGGAGAAATAAGCTATCAATTTCACCTTTTGTTACCTGAGGACTTCTGGTGGATGATAGAGCACACAACTTCGAACGTTTTTGCTCTCGTTGCCTCTTGTTACATTCCATGGCTTGCATTTATATTCATGCATGAAGATAGGACAGTGATAGGTGGAAATCAACAAACCTCATAGGTAGTTTGTATAAAGGATTTTAGAAAATATTAAACCATCTTGAATTCCAATTGTTTTCCTTTTCCTGGCTGGTGCTCCATGAAATTATTAACATCCATTTACCCTTTTGAGTTTTTCTTCCTTCTTTTGGTTTGCCGTTTCCCAATTTCACGGATTGCCTCCGAAACATGATGGAAATTAGAATCACAATTGATCCTGCTCTACCTGACGAAATTTCTTCAAGTTATCGGATGATCCTTGCTATTGTTATAAAGCTTCCTCAAAACATTTTGCAGATTTGGGCTATATTTGGATTTCTATGCTGCGAAATTTTTTCTTACCATCTCTTCAACTGATAGACCTTTTGTCAGTGTACAGTTACCCATCTTGGTTAATCGGGGTTGGGTCCCTCGTGAATGGCGGAACAAGGCTCCAAATGATCTACAGGGCAGCGAAAAACCTTCAGTCCCAGCTGCAGAAAATTCTGTGAAATCTGAGGGCCGCTGGTGGAGATTTTGGGCCAGTAAACCAGAAGCTGCCCAGGTTAGTTTATAGGGAGGGTTCTACCAAACATGGTATTTTAGATGAACTTCTTTATAAAAAAATCCCGCTTATATTTTTTTTCAAGGTAATAATTTTAATATAATCTATATAAAATTCTGATTGATAATCGTTTTTTCCAATTTCGATGTGGTGGATAAAAATTTATGTTAGTCGGTACCTTGAAGAAAGTCGGATGTTGCCTCACGATATAGAACTTATTTGACTAGGGATAGGGATATTTCGTTTTTCGATTTCTTTTTCCTCTAGATCTCTAGATTCTTGCAATCTTAATCGACATCCTTAATCTTCATATTTGCTTGAAAGCCTCTCAAATCTTTTCATTTCATATTTTCTTAGACTATCGCTTGCCGTTAGGAAGGAATACAGGATCAGGTGAGCCAGACCTAATTAACTGATTCCATCCACCCAGGTGAAAACCTTAGGTGGCCGATTTCAAACGAAAATGTTGGCATAACAAATAATAGATTTATTATTTAAATCACTGGTCGATGCTTGAGGGATCATATTGCCCAAGACTGTAATTGGACGTAATATCTAGTCACACGGATAACAAACTATTCGCACTCAAACCTGTTTCAGCTTTTTTCTTCGGCATGTTTTCTTGTCAGCTGATCTATGGAGTAAATTAACCAGAAAAGCCTTCGAATTTGCAGAGCCAGTATCCGGAAGTTTCTCTTGTCAAGGTTCTTGGTGTTGTTCGTGGAAGTGAGAGACCCAGCATATTTGTCCCTGCGAATAATCCCGAGAGTGGCCAATGGTTCTATGTTGATGTTCTCATGATCTCCCGTTCATCCGGCCTCCCAGATCATACTATTTATATTGAAGATATTGATGAGAATACCGGTGCCAGCAACCCTTATCCTGTTCCGAAGGACGCCAGCTCCCTCATCCGTCACTCAGTCATGCCGCAGGACCATCTTAATTACACCTTCACATGGTAAGAACCCCTTTCTCCAGGGATAATTTTTTAATATTTTAGAGGTTAGATCTGAGTGGGGTCAGAGATTGCTTACATTTCCGTGTTTTCTTTTCTGAACACAATCGGGTGCAAAAATGCTCATCTGCAGGTATACCCTGTCAGCTGCTGTGACGTTCATGGCGGTGAAGAGGATTAGACTGAGGAAGGGCAGAAGGTGACGTGGTTTCACCAAGCACATCATACTCTGCTAATTATCCAAAGATGGACTTTGGTTTCAGGGATTCAGTTCACCAATGTTGGGCAGAGTTGATTCTTCTTTTTTTATTTCAGGCTTCAGGGAACTGTGTAATAATATGTTCATGCATTCTGATTCACATGGGTTTTAATTGCCGATTTCTGAAAGGAAAGCTCAATTGGGCCTTGGCAATTGTGAGTTCAAAGTCATCATGGTTCTCAATCAGCATGGCCTGGCCTGATGAATAAAGAGGGTTGCTCTGCTCTAATCCCAAGGTTTATTAGGAAATTTGGCCTGATGGGCCGACCTAATTAATCTTCTATATGCACTTGTAAGAGAGAGAGAGAGAGAGAGAGCCTGGGTTGAGCAGCTTTTTGGCAAGGTTTGGGTGGAGAGGGAGAGAAAGACCAGGGGTCTAGTTGCTGTCTATTTTCTTTAGTGTAACTTCACATTTGATTTATGTATACCTAAGATTAGAGAAAACGTTGCACTCAGCCTAAGATTAGAAGGGTTACTTGACCTGGCCTAGAGATAGAGGGGAAACATTTGATGCTAGGGATAGAAATTATAGGCTACAAACCTATGGCCTATAGAAATTTTAATATGACCTCTCTCTCGCTCTCTCTCTCTCTCTCTCTCTCTCTCCCTCCCCCCTCACCCACCCTTCTTTGAGATGTGGGTATGTGTATACTATGTATGTTCATTAAATGTTAATTATTTTTAAATAAATATTTAAATATTAGTATTTCAATTTTAAATTTTATTTGTCCAATGACCAGAATACAACGATCACTATATGTATTTTCGCATTCATTAATTAAAATGACGAGAAATATCCCAAGAAATTGAGGAATGTTATTTACTTTAAATAAAAATTTGCATGTTAAAAATAATGACTGAATCCAGTCAGATGATAAACTTTGCAAACATTGCGCTATCTTTTATTATCCCAACATTTTGACGATAAAAAACTGAGTAGAATAGCTACGTAAGCTGATTTCTACGGGGTTAATTGATAATTTCTTAACAAGAGGTGTTTCTTTAAAAAATATTATTTCTTTTAAATATTTGAGGGTTCATCGTGCCCACCGTTACCGTTGATGTTCTTGCTATTTCCCGGACACTATAAATTCGACCCTCGTCTACTCTTCCTCCCCCATCTCTTCGACAACATTCGATCTTCGCCTCCGCCGCCGCCGCAGCTGCCGTCTGAGACCTGAGCGTGAGATCGCTGAAGGGAGCTCTACCTTTCTTGATTCGTTCAGGATGTCCGCCGTGGTGCTCGGCAAGAGGAACTCCTCTTGCTTCTTTGAGGAACTAAATCATCACCCTGCGGCGGGCGCAACAACCGTTCCCCCATCGCCTTCCGCCTCCAAGAAGGCGCGCTTCGCATCCTCGCCATCGTGTCTCTCCCCTCGATCCTCGCCCTCTTCTGTGCCGGACTCCTTTCTGTCCTGGCCCTCGTCGGACTGTATTACCGTCGTCAACAGGAGCAGCGGTGCCGGCGATAGTCTGACGCTATTTGACCATCTTAGATCTCTCTTCCCCGAAATTGAAGAGCAGGTATCCCACTCTCTGAATTTAAATTCTTATTCTTCTCTCTACTTCTTAATATCGGCATGTGTTGATTTAATCTGGCAATGTATTTATGTATCTGTGACCTATTAGGAGTAAGCTAATACGTTAGATTGATCCTCTGTTTAAAATCAGATTGAACGAGTAATTGTGACCTAAGATTTGGACATGATTTTGAAACCTCTTTTTTTGTTTCGGAAATTGTACTTAATCTCGTTGTTAGACTTTTGCCGCTTACTAGTCAGTTCTTACTGTTAAATATTTTTTTACTACGGTTTCTTTGAATTGGGTTTGTTCCCGTACATCCTGCCTGGTAGGGTTTTAGGTTAGCATTTGGTGATAGATTGGAAATAGTTTTTTTATAATGTCAGATTTCAGTACAAATGTAAATAGAAACTACAGAAATAATATTTTTTAAAGAAGGGAAGCATATTATATCTAGCTGCATGCATGTATAATAATGAGTTTGAATTTACATTCAAATTAATTCCAAATAAATGGACTGGAAATAGTTGGAACTATGCCAGGGAAATCTTGTAGAATTGTTTTTCGAAATTAATGATCCATGTTTATTGAATAACGAAATTTTTTTTCTTTCAAGGTCAGTTTTTTTTATTATGTATTAATCTCTCTCCCAGTTAACTGCTTGGATCTGCTTTTTTCTTGGATTGATAAGAAACGTGAACATGCCAGTGCCCCCACTCCAGAATAGCTGGTCTATTTTCAAACCTCTAATTGGCTGATGTCTATTGAACTTATTTTGTTCTTTTTAATCCTGGTACCAATCCTCTAATTGATACTACTCTAATTTTTTCTTTTCAAACCTCTAATTGATTGGTACCAGGATTTCTCTTTGTTTTCATAAATCTTATGTTAATCTTTCTAACTCAACTTTATTAGAATTTGTGTGTTTTAATCAGCCACTGGGTCATGATTCTTTTGAGGAATTTCACTTCTTACTTATGATAACTTCCTTATTGGCTTGTGAAATCTTGTTTTCAGGTTCTTGAAAGAGAATTGGAAGCTTATGGCAATGATCTGGATTCTGCCATCAAGAGTTTAGAGGAGTTTCGTTGCAGATCAACTAAGGAAAACTTCAATTCAGAAGGTGCTCAATAAATCCTTTGTTTTCAATCTTGTTATCTTTGTTTATCATTATTTTTGAGCCACTAGACTTCGTTTGATACTACTCGTGGCTGTTTTATTTTTACCTTTTTCTCTAAAATTTCTTCATTTCACTGCATTTTCATCATGTTATATTATGTCTTTTTCGGCAAGACTAAAGGCATTCAAGATATGGTCATTGAATTGGTGAAGGGAGACAGGTAGAATATTGAAAAAAAATCTGGCTTTCATCCTTGCCTTCAAAATAGTCTAAAGTTATGGGACGGTTCATTTTTCTGTTTCTCCAGTGAAAATGCAACGGTGTAAGTATTTTTTTTAAAAACAGGTTAGGATATTAAATGCGGCACCATTAAGAGCCAAAATGAGAATACTGAGAAGTGTAAGAAATCCACAAGAATAAACACCGCATTTAGACCCTTGTAAGAAAAAATGTCTGATAAAGACCGATAGCAGATAAGGATCCCACTATGAGATCGATCACAGAAACGCATAGAATATGTAAAAAAAAGCTAGAAACTGAGAAATGTATCACAGAAGAATAAGCTGAGAAATGTAAGAAATCCAGAAGAATAAACATCGCATGTAGACCCTTGTAAAAAAAAGGTCTGATAAAGATCATAGCAGATAAGCATCCCACTATCAGATGGATCACAGAAGCGCATAGAATATGAAAAAAAAGGGTTGTATTTGTGGCAAAAGCACTGTAAAGGTGTTTCCTTTCAGAATAGTCATACATTTATATGTGTAACATCTTTCTCATTAAATTTTTTACAAGGGATAGTCTTTTTCTTTGTATTCTGATTAGCATCTGATCCTTAATATTGCTTTTTTAAATGTGAAATTACGCTTCCAAGAGCGTATTTCTATAAATTCTCTGTAGAATCTATACTGTTTTTTCTTATACTTTGATGAGGTTTTTTTGTGGGGTGGCTCTTGTGTTGCCAGCTTCTCATCAACAATGCTCTGCCAAGGAGTTTTAAATGTGTCCACACAAAAGATCATGAATGCTGTCTAGAAGAATTGTATATCGTGCTTAATTCTGCTCATTAATGTATTAGTATGCTGTGCATGAATCTTGTTAAATGCTTTGTTGCTGTTAAGTGCAATTCCATGATCTTCTTGTCTGACACATGAATCGGGTAAATCAGAAACATCTTTCAGGATGAGATTACCTGTAACTGCTTAGCATTACCTGTAACATCTCATATGTTCTGGGTGGTTGTGGGGAGAGAGTGCAGTCTCTGAAACCGCATGTTGTCTGAATCTTCCTGCAGGTGGCTCCGAATGGGTCGAGCAGCTTGTGAGGGAAATGATGAACGCCACAGACATCAATGATGCCAGGGCTCGTGCATCAAGCGTGCTGGAGGTCCTGGAGAAATCGATCATGGCTGAGGCCACCACCAAAGCAGCACAAAGCTTTGGCGAAGTAAAGCTCATATGCATTCAAACTCAACTGCGTTCGATTCCTTCCTGTTCATCATCCCATCTCTCTTGATCCCCAAATTCTGCCTCTATTCTTACTAATTTTGGTATCTGCGTTTCCTTCTGAGACAGGAAAACATGATCCTGAAGGAGCAAGTTGAGGGGCTCCTCCGCGATAACAACATTCTGAAGAGGGCCGTGGCAATCCAGCACGAACGCCAGAGGGAGCTGCAGATGAAAGCCCTCCAAGGGAACCAAGAGCTCCAGCATCTGAGGGAGCTAGTGGCACAGTACCAGCAGCAGATACAGACGCTCGAGGTGAGTAACTCACACTCGCCATTAGACAGACTGTCCTCCCAAAGATCTCTTGATATCGGCTTTCTGAACACCTCTGCCCCTCTGCAGATCAACAACTACAGTTTGTCAATGCATCTGAGGCAGGCTCAGCAGGGCAGCTCAATGCCCGGCAGGTTCCACCCTGATATCTTCTGAAATCCTGCGGCAGGTCGGTAAAAAGCGCCCAAACCCCCAAATTTTGTGCTGATGTGGGCGGGTTCCAGGGGTTGGTTGGAGGGAGGTTTAGTTCTAAATGACTTGATTATGGCGTATCCTGTTTTTTGGTTCAATGTGGTCGGGATTCTCAGGTCAATTCGGGCCTTGTAGATTGTACAAGGATACGATAGTATTCATTTATACAGGCGCTGATTTTCAGTGAAATAAAATGATGATATGGCCCCATATTCTCACGATAATAAAATTTCAAGAATTACCTCTTTTCTTGTGTTCTAGAGATTGGTACTGCATCCAGCTTTGAAGTCCGTCTTATTCGTCTCAGACTAATATCTTTCCTAAATGGGTACACCCTCTAGGATTGTCATTAAAGACGAAAGTGATCTATAGGATACTCACACAGTGGCATTTGCATGGGTCATGATTATAGCTTGTTCTCTCTTTCATCCAGAAGATAAGAGATTCCATTTGGGCATAAGTTATTCTCTCTTAGAAAATAATTATTTTCCCAAGGACTGGACAATCTCATTTTATTTTATTTTATTTCATTTGCTATTCTTAAAAAATTTTAACCTGAAAGAATAGACCTCTAAGCATGTTTCAATGAATAAATAGTCAACCTGTTATTCTGAACCTATATATTTTCACTTTTGTTATGTCTAATTGAGAGTATTCTCTTGTGCATACTTGGCATGATAATTTAGGAAAATGAAGATATCGTAGTAAATGTCATAATGGTGCAAAGGATTTCTCCTCCCACTTTAAATTAAGAAAATTACATTTCTCATACTTATAAATAAGAAAATTATGGAATGTATGCAAATACTTCTAGTTGTGACAACTACAAATCTATCATCATTCACTTCTCATGTCTTTCACACTTTTGTAGTTTTAGATAAAATGCTGCAAGGGAACGAAAATGGATATAGTTGACTGTTAAGGTGCAACATGCCCGCACTATTTTATGCTACTCATAAAAATATTTTTGAAGTGAAATGATTTTCAAAGTTGGTGGAAACTTTTCTGGTTAAAAAATAAGATAAAATATAGAGAAAACATAAAAATGATATTTTCAGTTAAATTAGATCTTCTCCGATTTGATCGCATTTCTACATTTTTCAGTGTTTCCTTCTGAGTCTCTTTTAATGTGGAGAAATTCCAATGATCCCCTCATACAACAAGAAAAATAAGAAATAAGAAATAAATTTATTTAGTTGGGAGTTCCTCTATATTACGTCTTCTATATAAAAAATAGTTGTGTATGACGTATGCCTATTGTGCAGTTCATAGACGAAATTTACAAAAGGATAGAAGCCAAGTAGATAAAAGAATTCATTGAGAATGCAGTATGCTACTTGTCTTTACTTTCTCTTGGGAACAATTGAATAAAGAAATCTCTACAAGTTTTAGAGACGAAATATAACTGAAACTGAATATGTTCGTCTTACCTTCTGGATTCCTCAATGATTTAATTAATATGAAGTAAAAAAAATGAAATTTGTTGATGGAGAATGTGAGAAACAAATGATCAAAGAGACTTACCTTCAGTCTTGAGTCCTGAATAGTAGGTGACCAACTACTTTAAAATGCAAAAAAAGCTGATGGAGAAGGTTCCTTCCTCATTATGTTATGGCTACCAAAGACTGAAAGTATTTTATGATGTGATTTTTTATCTAAAAGATAGATACAGAAACAATAGAAAATATGTGCAATGATAATATATGTTCAACACACCAAGTCAAAGCACAAAATTGACACATTAAACAGCTGGTAAACTGCAGTGTACTTTTTAAACAACTACATGTGGATGATGATAAAGGACAGATATGCATCCATCGATTAAAAAAAAGGTTTGACTAAGTAGAGCCTAGAGCTTAGCCAAAAACGCTTGGATGGGATCTTCATTAAGTAAACATTAAAAGAACCTTAGAACTGGCCCTTTTCCCCAAGAAATGTCCTCCCATTGTTATGCATTGTCTATTTTAACTTTTTATCTTCAAGATCTTTTAGCGTTATAATGTGTTCTGAGGCCATTGATATCAAAATGCATTCACTATGCTGGAGATAAAAAAACATGAAATTTTAAGATAAGGAAAAATATGCATCTTCTGCCTTGCATTTTTCGGGGTTAATGATTTGCCTCCAAAAGAGGTTTCCTGATGCATAACACAAGAATAATGTAAGTTGATTCTAGTGAATCATGGTAGATTCAAAAATGATATGTTAACCAAAGAATGAGATGCAAATGTTGTAAGATTGAATGCATAACATCTCAAAATCTAAGAAAATGGCATATGATTGTATGGTAAAAAATTGGGCACTTTCACTTATGACAATCTTAATTCACATTTTCATTAGAAGTGTAAAGTAGGATCCATGGTAATTCTTAAATGTCTTTTTTACTCTATGAGATTGTCATCTAAATAATTAATATGTTATAGTCTTCATTTTATTCTTTTAAAATAGAGAGTTAAGCAGTACTAAGCTTGAAAACTTTCATCAATGAGCTTCGTCATTCTTCTAGTTGACATCCGACTTCTTAATATACTTAATGTGTACGAAATTAATTTAGATGTGCATACTGAAAAAAAATAAAAAAATGCAGAACAGAAGCTTCAAAAGAGTGAAGTGACTAGGCTGAAGGCATTGAAGACCCAGGTAACAACCTTGAAGATACAGGTTTCTTGTAACCAATTTTCTTTGCAACTATGTTTTACCATATTTCCAACTAGCTTTCGGGAATTTTTTGATTTCCTAACAGTTAGTTCTTGTAACCCTCAATGGCCTCTGTCATCTACATTTTCTGTTAGGGGGTCGCCTCTCTTGTTAGTTAGGGATTTACTACACATAACCTCAACAACCATTTTTTTTCATTTTGCCATTTAAATTTTACCCCTACTATTTTATTCACTTACACAGTTTTGAGCGCAAAAGAGAAGAGCATAACTCAAATTCAAAAAGCTTTTAAAGTATGCATTCATTTATGGGCCACTCTTCAAAGTTCAGCGTTTTAGTTATTCATGAAGCTTATGTTTAATGCCCCTACTATGCATGGCATGTATGGTTGGGTAGGGTTTCTTGACTACTAGAAGCTGAAAGTTTTGGCAACAACCAATTTATACCTTTCCATCGTTTTTTCTATTACCTTCAAGACAACTTCACATTAAGGAAGTTACTTATTTTGATGTGCAAAACTGTCTCTGAATACAGATTTTAATCGATGTTAGTCCCATTAAGTCAGGATCCATTTCTATGCAGTTAATACTATGTGCATCTCAGCATTATTTTATATATGAGGCCTTACTAAGATTGTCGATGAATGTGGGGAAAAGATAGTCGAGAATACTCTAAGAAAATCTCCCTGGCTGGGCTTGACCCTTGCGAAATGTACCATGCGTACGTATCGAACGATGGCTTACGAACTATGTGAGGCCTCCCCTATTCAGCTTCACAAGTCGGGATGATCACTGTATTGTTCCAGAGAGAGAGAGAGACCGCTCGAGTCACGGAACAGATAGAGAAAGACTACTTTAGCAGCAGGTCTTTCCCTTCGACACGAACCGACCCTTTCATCTCTCTCTCTCTCTCGTTGTGTCAAACACAAACACACGGACACTGGGGAATCACGGGTTGCACTCAGTGAGCAGACTGTCTTCACGGACAAAACTTCTTGGAATCCAAACCCAACCTGTCTCATTTCTCTCACGTAGACCAGAGCTGGGTGCGTCCTTCGTGTGGCGTCCGTCGCTAGAGTCTCAGTAAGGTTGCCAGAGCACAACTGTAGAGAGAGAGAGGGGACAAGACTCTCATTTAGTGTGCTGTAAGCCCAGTAGGGAAACAAAGCGGACGACTACATGCATGCCCGGCCTTATAAATGTATACTCAGCCCCCTCTATTCACTAATACTCTCCCCTTCCCCTTCATCTCTCTCTCCCTCTCTCTCTCTCTCTCTCTCTCTTGATGTTCTCTCTGTTGGTCATCGCAGGAGTGCCTTGTTGATCTCGCCATGGGGAAACATGTGGTAGCCATCCTTCTCCTTTCCAATCTCTTGATGAGCCTCGCCTGCGGCCCGCCATGTCACCCCCCCAAACATCCCCCCAAGATCAAACCCCCCCACGCGAAGCCCCCCCACAAGCCACCAGTCAAGCCGCCGCGCCCGCCAGTCAAGCCCCCGCGTCCGCCGTCGGCACCGCCCCAGATTCCGCCGCCGCCCGCGCCGCCCCCGCCGCCGCCGCCGTACCCCGCTCCATCGCCTCCGGTTGCACCAGTTGCCCCCCCTGCGCCGCCTGTAGGGCCGTCCCCGCCGCCGTCGCCGGCGGTGGGGCAGTGCCCAATCGACGCCCTGAAGCTGGGGGCGTGCGTGGACCTGCTGAGCGGCCTGGTGCACGTGATAATTGGGAGGGAGGTGAAGGAGAAGTGCTGCCCGCTGATCCAAGGCCTGGCGGGGCTCGACGCCGCCGTCTGCCTCTGCACCACCATCCGCGCCAAGCTGCTTAACCTCAACCTCATACTCCCTATCGCCCTCGAGCTCATCGTTGGCTGCGGCAAGTCCGTCCCCCCTGGATTCCGCTGCCCTCCCCTCCACTAACCTTGTACTCTCTCTCTTTCCCCCTCCTGTTCTTCACTCCCTGCTGCTTCTCTCTCTCTACGTCTTTTACGCTCTCCCTGCTGCAATCTATGTGATGACTCGACTCTTTTTGATACGGCTTGCAATCGAGCCCCATCAGCGACAAGCCATCCATCCGCTTGGAGTTTTAACGGGCTGGGCCCTCCAAAGGCAAGCCTCAAGCAAGACCCAGAACCCGGCCCTCTGTGCCGCCATCCTCCTCTCTCTCTCTCTCTCTCTCTAACAAATGGCACTGGACCAGCCCGTCGGAACCCTGGGCACCCTTTCTTATGAGCAACATGAAACGCACGCAACTCGCTTTCTTATGTGATCCAAATGCATAAATTACGTGTGGAATTGGATCTCAAGGACAAGTCCCCGTCTCCAGCAAGAGAGAGGAGGGAAGAGAGAGAGAGAGCCTGTAATAGACGGGATAGACCTTCCACCTTACCTAGCGGCGGCGGCGGGGGCAGGAGCAGCCGCAGAGCCTTCCCTGAACAGAATATTAGCGACGGGCGGGGGGAGCCAAGCAGGGTTCCCCGCACCCTGTCCGTCCTGCTGCTGCCTCTCCATCGCCGTCGCCGCCGCCCCCGGCCCGCCACCGCCCTTGGCCTGCCTCGACGACCTCCCCGCCTTGCCGACGAGGAGCCCCAGTTTCAGGGCGGCGAACAGCCCGAGGACCATCACCAGCGGCCTCACCGCCCAGTGGAAGTCCTCCAGGTGACGGTACTTTCCCGCGACGCCCTCGCAGGCCTCGAAGCTCACCGCCTCCACCTCCGCCGCGTCCGCCATCGCCTCCACCGGCCCTGCGAAATTCAGCAGGCCGGGGAAGCCGACGACCAGGCAGGCGTTGGGCAGCACCTTCGAGATCCTCCCCGTCACCCACGAGCCGTCCCTCCGCCGCGGCCACCCCCCGAACCTCCCTCCGCCGGAGAGGTGGCCCTTCAGCCGCACGAACTGCCCCACGCAGTAGCACTCCGCCATCTCCAGCTCGGAGCAGCTGCCCCGCCACAGCGCTGCAGAGCCGACCACACCGACGGCGGCCCGCCCCTCGCGGTCCACCGAGTGGAGGACGCCCACCAGGGAGTGCTTCTCGACGGCGCGCCGGATCCGGACCCAGTCGCCGGCCGCGAAGCCAAAGGAGACCCTCTCCAGCGCGGCGGAGGAAACCCTCAGCGGCCCGTGGATCCCGCGAACCCTCACCAGGACCTGGGCGGCGCCACCGCCGCCGGCGGAGCTCTCCACTCCAACGACCGTTCCCTCCGGGACCTGCATCTTCTCGAGGCGGCGGACGTCCCTGGGCTTCCTGGACCGCACCGTGTCGCCCACCAGGAGGCGGTCCTTCAGGAGCGACCAGTCAGTGTAGCTGTACTTGCTCGCCGCCTTCTGGTTCATCTTCTTCATCCCCCAATCATCGCCACCGCCATCGTCGGCGACCTCTCCTCTGCAACTGTAAATTTCAATAAAACTGAAGATTAATCATTCATTACTATCAAATCACACCTCGCTAAATATTATCCTCTCAGCTGATAAAAACCCCTACATAAGAAGAGACAAAAAATCCATGGAAATACGTCTGAGCTCATCTCTTTTTAGCTAGATGATTATATAATTATGGTCACCAATTATCATGATGATTCGAATTTATTGATAAACAAAATATGAACGAGTGTTAGAAATTTTATAAATGATGATACCACATCGCACCCTACATAATTGCATCAAAAATTACTTTTCAGATTAAATTCAGGTCCGGGAACAATCCTGGTAGCCATTTAGATGCAAATACATTTTTTTTATTTTTTTAAATGTTAATAGATCGTTAAATTACATTAGTTTCACATGAGATCAACCGGATATACCAAAGAAAAAAACGAGAAAATAAAAAATTCCATTGGAATCTTTAAGAAAAAGCAGGCACTAACTATGCATGCAACATTACTGACTGCTATCTGAGAAAATGTGCAAGTTTACTGTTCTAATTAGAGTCCAAGAATTCATTCACTGATTTCTTCAGGTGAGTCTCATGCATAGAATTTCTATACATGGAGATGAACAAACTGGCCCCAACTGCATAGCATAGCAGGGTGGGTTTCATTTATTTCCCCGAAAGTAAGAATATTCCAACACGTTACGCTAACCATGCACGATATCAAGTATTTCTATTGAATCTCAGCAAGAGAAAATTCCATTCAAAAAACTTTTTCCAATCCTGCAAAGGCACAGATGAAAATGATCAAGGACAGATTTTGTTGCCATCAGAGAGTAGACGGAGGGAAAGAGTACCTCTCAAACGTGCGTAGGATGTCTCCTATCAGAGGTCGATCCCGGAGGTCATACTCGAAACATCCGCGAAGAACATCCTCCACCTTCGGCGGCAGGCCCCTGGGGATCTCTGGCTTCTCCTGCTTCACCGCAACCAGGCGGCGCACCTCCTCAGCCGACTTCCCGCACCAAGGCGGCGAACCGGTCAACATCTCCACGATACAGCACCCAAACCCCCACGAATCGGTCTCAAAGGAGACGGGCCCTCGGGCCTCCGGCTCCCACTGCTCTGGGGCCATGTAATGGGGAGTCCCCAACCTCTGCACCAGCTCTGGGCTTGGTGGAGAGACATCAAGCAGGAGGTGAGGGATCCCAAAGTCTCCGAGGATAACCCGGTCGTTCTCGTCAAGGAGGGCATTGCAGGGCTTCACATTAAGGACTAGAACTCCCCTCGAGTGGAGCTCCATGATCCCCTGCGCCAGGTCGATTCCATACCTGCGATTAAGATGTCGACGATTCTTCAGATAATCATCTTCCCAGAGATGAGACCATCAAAGATGGATCAAAGCTCTGGCTTCACCTCAAGGCATCAGAGAGCGGGAGCCTTCCTTCTCTCAGGTGGGCCATTTTGTCTCCCACAGAGCCCTCATAAAACTTCATGGCAATGCATACCTGTAAATAAGATTGTATTGAAACCTTCTCCGCTAGAAGAACAGAGACTACAACAACGAATAAACGAGGATCAGGCTCTCTCTCTCTCTCTCTCTCTCTCTCTCTCTGCTTGGTTAGAGGGAGAGAGAAGAAGATCTTGCCTTGCCCATCTTCCTTGAGATGCCTTGTAGAAGGCAAACCCCCTGCAAGCCCTGGCATTTGAAGAATACTTCGTCAAACCTGGTGAGGAAGGCTGGGATTTGGTCCTCCTTCATGAAGTGCAGCATCTTGACAGCAACTTCGTGGTATTCATCATAGTCGTCGCTGAAGAGGTGGTGGGTTGCAACCCAGAGATCACCAAAGGGGCCCCGCCCAATGCGGTGAGTGAGCTTCAACACATCAGGGTCAATTCGGGGGCTTTTCTGCCTGGGGCTGGAGACGATGGTCTTGAGATGATCAGGGTCCCCCTCATATAACATGTACTCAAAAGGCTCAGCAGGTTGAGACATGGAGTTCGGCTCAGACATCATCCTGTTGGGGAAACAAAAAGATTTAAGCATTAAATAACTTAGACAAAAAGAAATTCACAGATTGAACAAATAACCACCGAAAAGAATGAAAAAGCGAAATTGAAAAGCTGGCTATGAGCAAAAATCATGTAAAAAATTAAAGACACCAAGCATTTAAGATTTTTTAGGGATTTTATGGTAAGTAAGCAGATAGCGATCCTTTTTCTAGTGAGTTAAGAAATCTCCATTCCTAGAGAATGAATGGGTACCCAAACTTAACCAGATGATAAAATGAAGATTCAGAAGGGAATTTAGGGTAGGAGTCCAACCCAAAACTATGCAAAAGGAAAAATGAAGGATTCAGCGCCTAATTTCTGGTCTGATTATTCTATGAACCCAATTCCCAAACATTTGGGTATACAATGAAGATTCAGATCATATTTACAGGGTTAAATTATTACATAACCCAATTCAGAAATATTTGACCCAACCAGCATCAAAAACAAAATTGTCAAACATTAACGTCACAGCACAGTCGGGAACTAGGAAAATAATAACCATGGTGCCGAGAAGGTATCTGCGAGCGAGCTCCGCAACAAGGAAATCATGGAAAACCAACATTTCTTGGGGAGAAAACGCATCCGCTTACCATAAAGTTCATGAATACCAATGTTTAAAATCATGAGGTCGACCGGAAGAGAGATTATTTAGCCTAAAACTTATCCAATTCCAATCCTGAGATGATCTCCCGATCCCATCCATCACGCCCCCCCACCAACCAACCCCAGGAGGAATGAGATCAGATTAGCCAAACTTATACAGCACACGGGACACACGGAGTCAGATTGGACATAACAGATCAGATACAGGGAAAACCTCAGCTGACTGAATCGACTCATAGAAGACGAACCCCCCCCCCCCCCCTCTGCATCTGCAAGAACGACGAACTTATCACCCAGCCAGCCAGCCCCCATCGACCAGAAAGTAAACGCCCACGATGGAAAAACAGAAGCGGGGAGGTGTTCCGCAGAATGGGAACCCAAAGAGGGGCTCCATAAATCATGGAGCAAACGCGAACAAGTATGCTTGCATACCCGGCGGGGAAGAACCGACTGACAGAGAACCCTCGGCGAGGATCACTCCCGTCTTATATCCGGCCTACAGAGGATCCTAAATATCCGGAGAGCGGAGTCGTGTGTGGAGTGGAGGAAGAACCACATGGGACTCTGGCGCTCATCCCCTCTGGTTCCACAAAAAGAAAAAGAAAAACAGAAGGAGAGGGAGGTGGAGAAGGAAGAAGCGGAAAGGGCGAGAGCCTGGTTTCGGAGGACGGTGGAGGATCTTCTTTCGCCAAAAGAACCCCCCTGAATGATGATTCTTCACTAATACCATTATTTTGTTTCATTTTATTTATATACCTACTCTCCGACGGTAGCACTATAAAATCTCTCTTAGGCTCGGTAATAAATTACAGGACCTGAATAATATGTTACTTCAATAATATTTTGTTATAAAGAATGAATAAATGGATGCAATGCAATCGTTGCTGGGAGAGTATATATTTAAATATCCTTTAAATGAGGTCGAATTACTTTTAAAATATTTATAGGGTGATTTGGAGAAATAAATTCGAATAAATCTCTTAGTTTCGAATTGAAGGAATCGACTTTATTTCTACATCGGGATAAAAACCCCACTTCCTAGCCACGTGGATTAAATCTAGATATCAAGCGCTGTATGTGAGCCGACGTGTCCCACACGGGACGCCTCCGGCCACAGCAGTGATGTTGAGTAGCTGGGCCAGTCCCGGGCTTCGGGCTGATTTCGGGCTTTCTTCTCAGGTGAGTGGGCTTCACGAGCCCGGGCCCGGGGTCTCAGAGAACCCCAATCAACGTAGACCACTGTAGGTAACTTAAAAGTGAGAGGAGTGAGAAGGAATCTCGCGGGGACGAATGTTCCCCTTCCTCCACTCGTCAAAAATAATTCTTGTATTTTTATTTTTTGTGGAGGGGGATGGAAGGACCGGCGACCGTCCGCCTTCCCATCTTTCATCTCCACAAGCCAGAAACACCTATTTTTTTAATTTATAGTTATTCATTTTGTGGGCTGTCAACATAGCTTGAATGCTGATGTGGAGAAAAAGTCCAGAACGTGGGCTCCCAGCCGGCGAGATCAGGGCCCAAATTTTCTCAGCACACATCTCTCTCTCTCTCTCTCTCTCTCTCTCTCTCTCTCTCCCTCCTTTGAACCCCACAATCTTCCATGGATAGAGAGAGAGAAAAGGACAGAGACAGAGGTGCGACTTGGGTACTTACTATTCAGATACTTGTACGCAACAGATGCCTTGTCAAAGGCGTAACAAGCGACCTCCTTTGGAAATATACCTCTACAATCGATGTCATACAATATCTTCGGTAACTTACCCAAAATATGATATAAATTAACTAATTATTTTGATATTATTTTTGTCTGAAGGGTCCCGTCTTGGGTCTAGCTATGTATCCGCAAAACCAAGCTTTCTTGGGAGGAAGAATAGTGTGCGGTTAATCCAATCAGGTCTAGATTCCGATGGGGTCCAATTCTCTCTATATTTCTCAATCTTAGAGGGGCCGAGCCCTCTCCAAGACGTTATGGTTTGTAACTCTACTCTTCCCACAAGTTTCTACTCTCTTTTTCTACCTAAATTTTATGGATCCTTATGAGACACATAAACTAATAACTTTTCATTCGGTAGACAAGGCCACAAAATGTACCATAAATCCTTCTTGACGGGTTCCTCCACCTTTTACTTTTAACCAGATGGCTAACCCTTCTTGGTGAGTTTAAAGGCATCTATGTGTTTAAGTAGCGAGAGAGAGAGAGAGAGAGAGAGAGAGAGAGAGAGGGCAAGAGAGGTAGAGAGTTAGAGAGAGAGAGAAAGAGAAGGGGGGAAGGAAGGGAGTGTGGATAGTCTAGAATTTACCATTTAGTATATTTTAGACAATAAACAAGCTCAACAATGTAGATGTATGTGTTGTGTTTATCCTTTAGGGATATATTTATACCCATTTTTATAAGAAAAATATGAATTTATTGACGAAGTGGAAATGTTGGCTTGATGGTGTTTTAATTGAGTTGGCATAGCTTAAGTTGCAGATTATTCAAGTGTCATTCTTGAATCCACAAAGGATTTGATCTTTGTGAAGATCCTTTTCCTTGAGTCCATACAATGAAGAGACCTAGACCCTTGAGTCCACAAGGGCTTGATCCTAAGTCTACAAGGATCAAAATATTTCCTCTAAATCCACAAAGGATGTGATTATGGGTCTATATAGTGAAAGAGACAAATTCTCAAAGTCCATAGGGGAGCTGAGGTCCACCAAGAGATAGAGAGTACTTCACATAGGAAGAAATTCAAAAATTTATTGATTGAAATTATAATGGCTGTTAGGCTATATGAGTTGTCTTTAAATAAGCTTAAGTCTCATGATTTGACCTTTAAATTTGAATTTCAAATGAACTTTAATAATAGAAACAAAAGAAAAAATAAGAATAGAAGGGGGAACAAAAGTAGTAAAGGTTTAAAAGTAGAAATGAACTAAAAATAAAAATAACTAAAAACAGAAAAATAATAAACATAACAATAATTAAAAATAAAAATATGAAAGAGGAAACCTCAATATGGACACATCCTAAAACATGTCATGTTATAAGTCTAATTTTGTGATTGGCCTAACTTCAACTTAAATGAGTCTTCAAGTTGTAAGTGCTTACACTCCACTTGTTATAAGAATAGGTTTGTATTATAGTTTAAATATCTATTTGTGACTACCTAGGTCAAAAACTGTATATCCTTCATTTGATAGTAAATCTTGTGCTACATCATTTGTACCAAAAATAATTACGTTTTCTTCAACATCATTTAGAAAATATTCCAAACGGATTCATGAGTTCCATTTTTGCCTACACCTTGAGTGAGGGATGAGAACTAAACGAGATGAACTAAACTTTCCATTGGTACATAGCTAGATATCTTAATGATTGTATTTTTTTGTAAAAAGAAAAAATAGTATAACGGTTTTAGTATATATTTTGTTTTTATTGCAAGTTTAACAAATGGTGAATGATTTATGGGCTAAGCTGGTGCTTATTGCAAGTTTCTCTTAAAGTATTATTGGGTATCATTAAATGAATTTTAAACACAAGATCCCTAGAACACGAACCCATCCATCTGCATACATGTGAATAATGTGGACATAAGTTTTATCACGCTCATAAAAGATTATGTATGATGAATATATGAAGTAAAAAATAAAACATCTCAACATCTAACCTAGGCAAATCACATTAATGTGAACCATTAATCTTAAATTTGCTTTTGGGAACATGACTAGCAGAGGGACAGGGAGAGAGAGAGAGAGAGAGAAGGAGAGGTAGAAAGAGGGCAAGAGATATTTGATTTAGATTTTGAGATTCCAAAGTGTGTCTAACTTCTTCGCACATCTAACCGTTTAAGTTGATAAATTGTTGATTGATATTCTTGGAAACATACTCAATGTTTAGGGAATAACCAATGCCAGCGTCTAGATAAGCTATTTGATTCCCACATACCTAGGTAAGGATACGATCAAAGCCCAGGCCCAAGGCTTTGACTAACGATTCTATGACCTTTGACTAACTGATTTGATTGATTGTCTCTTTCAATCCCAGCCCAGGCCCAAGGCTTCAGTAAAGAATAGCCAGAAACAAATAAACAATAACATATGAGTTGGAATATTCAACACATCGAATGTTTTAAGTCAGTAAGACTGATCACTAAACCATGCTTTATTTCATAAGACTAGCACAAAATTTCCAGATTACACAAGATATTATATCCTAAGAAATTCATACCTCCTTCCAGTATGAAACACAGATGCCAAAGATTTAGACCCCAAGAGAGACTTACTAATTGGCTACGCACAAGAAGCTCCACCTCCTTGCTACACAGGTAGAGAGAGGGAGAGAGAGAGACTGTTCTATATGTATATATATGGAAGCGGAAGCAGCATATGAAAATTTCTCCTGGCTGGGTTCCATTGTTCATGAGGACTGCAGCAGAGTGGAGGAAAGAAGAGGCCATGAGGAAAAAAGAGGCCGAAGCTCATCTAAGCCTACTAGAACTTACCTCAGGGTAGCAGTCCTGGCTAGCGATGGCCTGATTTTCCACATCCACGATGACTGCACAGGATATTCTCCCCTGAGGACAGCACACAGAGAGAGAGGGAACAGAAGGATCAATTATTAGTGACCCAGAGGGAAGTTCTACTCATGAAAACCATGAGAGCATGCATTCAACGATTCAATGAGACTGAAAAATAGATAGAACGGTGCATTGGATACATAGTCAAACATCTGAAAACAGTGCCACACTTTATGGAACATAAATTTATGAAAGCATACCCATTTTTATGTTCTTCGGAAATGTATGTGTACACCCATTTTGATATGATAAGCATATCCATTTTCATTCAAATTAATTTGGAGAATACTCCCTGCATATTCATCTATTTCGAATAAATCTGAGAAGCTAAGATCTATAGGTGAGGTAATCTGCGGAGACCTACAAGTACTACTGATGAACACATGGACTTCTTCGTGATTCAAGGATTCTGTGAGGATTAAAAGCTAAAGAACCATTTTTCTAATAGCTGGTCAGATTTTTGCAAGGTTAGCAAATGGCTAAAGAAATATGAGTATGCTCCTCTCATTACCAACTGATTCTGGATTCAGCTATCTAATTATTTAGTAGAGTATATAAGAGCACCATTCCCTTCTTGGTTCACATGCTTCATCTAGCTTTCTAGATTAGTCCCACACTGAATAGAAGAAATCCACCTTGTCGTTATAATATATTTAGTAGCCTCCCCTAGTATTGCCCCAAGACCCAAGTGCTGGTTCTGCATAAATCCTGACCTCAAGCACTAGCAGCTTAATGTTCTAATGACCATCTATGGCTTATCTTCTTGTTTCTTGCAGACGATCAAAAAGATATGAGAAGAAAGTTTTAAGTTGACCAGGACCAAGAATAGGTTACATCTGCCATTGAGGATCCACACTGAAGAGTACAACAAGCTCCTTACAATTCGATCTGCACTACATGTCTTGGAGAAGCCTGGGAATGCCTACTCGTTACAGGCAGCAAAGAAATGCTACCACAAAGAATTTCTGTCTTAAAAAGAATCTAAGCATAATTTTACCCAACAGAGAACAAAATCACAAGCAAAGTTCAAGTCCACAGGCAATGCAGTAGCATTGACTTTAAATCAAATGTAGCAAGGGATTAGATGCAACGCCAAAACAGAGAGCCGACACTTAAAATTAGGAAAGGAAAAAGTGGGATTCAGATATACATGCATGCCAAAGAAGTCACCAAAGGCATTTCAACGGCGTACCTCTCAAAAATATACACATAGATGTACATAAATATACATATATATATATATATATATATATATATATATATATATGTACACAGACACAGAAGATATGAGTCATGTGCCATAAACTTCACATTTTTAAGAATATCATGAGTTTATGTGAAATGAGGAAAGCGTTAAAATCGCCAAATAAGAGCATCTTTGGGCGATATTTTTGCAAGCATTTAAGAAAATGAAGAAGAGACAAAAATACACTTAAATTGAAATCTTGGCCAAAACCTAGAATTATAAGGTTCGATCCAAATAGCATCAAGGGCAGAACAGGGATCACTCATAGAAGTATTTAAAACCCTCCAAATGATCTAAACAATACTCATACTGATGATTTCATGGTATGCAAAAGCATTGTGACATCCCCTCTGTTAAGCCCATTTTTGTCAGAATTGATTATTCTAAAAGCATTTCTCAGGGCTCAGGAATAAGATAAGAAAATGCCTACAGTCAGGAGAAAATGTTAGAGTTCCACAGGAAAACACGGTAATAGTTAGGAGAAGTCAGTCATCAAGCAAGTCAAGCAATCGAAGATGAAACACAAGAGTTGAATTGAAATTGATCCCTAAACCTAGATGCTACCCAGATCAGCCTAACAGATTACCTCTACAGGGAAGTCCATGGAATGCAGGTGGATTTTCCCCTTCATCAGCGTCGTCGTTTCGAGAGGGATCCTCCCCTTCGCTATGTCCTCAAGAAGGAGGGAGGTGTCCTGTAGCACCCAGATCCCATCCAGCCGCACCCAAGCGTCTACGTAGGACTCGCCTCTACTTTCCAGGCGAGGGCCAACCACCATCTTCGTCCCCAGCGACTGCCCTCGGTACGTGATGTCCACCGTGATGTTGTCATAGTCGAGAGGGAGGAAGTCTCGGTTGTAGATGTAGACCCTGATGTCCATGTCCACGTCAATGGCGATGCCACCGTGCCGGTTGGGAACGGCACGGATGGAGCGGACGCCGAGCCAAGAGAGCCGGACTTGAGGATCAGAAGGCCAGAGGAAAAAGATGGCCGCACCTATCAGGAGAGCAGCGGAGAAGAGGGCGAGGAGGGATATAAAGGAAGCGAAGGCATTGCAGCAGGGGGGAGGACAGCGGAGGCGAAGGCGAAGACGGAGGCGGAGGCGGCCGCGATGGCGGGAGAGGAGTGGAGGGAAAACGTAGGGCTGCGGAACCAGTGGTTCCCTGTAGTCGCCGACTGGAACACCGTAGCCGATGGACTGCGGACGGTGGTCCTGGAGTAGAATCAGTGGCTCCCCCGCCGCAAGGGCGTTGGGGAATTCTCCTAGTCCATGTTCGTCCATGGCGGCGGTCGCCATCGCCCTGCCGCTGCAGACCACCCCCCGACATTATCCTCAGCTGAGAGAGAGCGAGAGCCAGAGCACGAGAGAGAGAGAGAGAGCATAGTACCACGGGAACTCCGAGAGGAGTACCAGCCACCATAGCGGTTTCCCAGAAGGTGGTCACTCAATTAACTTCAGATACCTATATAAATAAATATTATCAACAAATTTAGTCTACTTTAAAAATTATCCTTCTATCCTCTAGAATTTTACGACTCCAGTTAGACGTCTACGACCAGAATACATGCCATAACTCCGGTTAAGATAACACGACGCCTACAGCCCAGTTAGACCTTAAATGATCAAGTTACCCTGGTCTTTTGAACACTCAGAGGACAACCTGGATGACCGAAGCCTCGTAAGTTCCTCCAACTATCTTGGCCCTGAAACTCGTCATACTAAGTTTCGTAATGATCTCAAAAAGCAAAGCCCATGGGCCAGCCAGCCTGCCCCAACCCAACTCGGCTCTTGAGTCCTGTAGTCTACGGCATCTCACCCTCAGTCGCCTGGTAAATGGGCCTCTTCAGTTCCCAAAGCAGGCCCACCAGTAGGTTAGGAACTTTAGGGCCTTGGCATGATTCTCGGGCCACCTCCCGGCACCAAAGTAGAAGTTCCCTAGAGCCCTCAAAACTCAACTCCTTGATAGTCCCTCGTTGCTAGAGTCAACCACTCGATAAAAAACAAAAGAAAATGTATTAAAGTCAACGTTGGACTTCTCTAATCAAATACTCATTGGCTTTGTAAGAAAGTCAAACTTTTGAGGTCACAACTTCCGAAAGTTGACTCCATATGGAATGGAATGTGTTCGTCTTTTCTTGAGATGAGTTGGGAAGTTAAACATTTGAGATGAAGCAAAGGATTTTGGATCTAGCACACTCAAGATTGATTTTTTATCGAGTGAGAAAGACAATTGCTTGCGATAGTAGAGAGCTCTACAAAAGTCAACTCTAGATTGATTTCCATTGAGATATATTCATATGATTATTGTGATATATATTTTTATCATTTTACATAATTCTTTTCTCATAAAAAGAAGAATTAATATTTTAAAATTGTAATTCCTGCTATAAAAATAACATGATAAGATTTCACATCAACAGTCGATAATATCTAATCAAATAAATAATGTTGTGCAAAGTACAAAATTTTTCAGCACAATATTAAGAGAATAAAATATAAAAAAGAACAAACTTACCAACGCGGACAGAAATATTAAATATATGGGCATCTGATATTTGATATTATTGGTTTTGTTTCAATGTCATTATCCCGAATGTTGGAAGCAAAGTAATTTGCATATTTCACGTTAACCGTAGAGTTTTATAAAACTGACGACGCTTTGACCGTCAAAGTCTATGCGTGTGAAGAGGACAACAGGAGGATCTGGTAGTGATAGACTGGTACCTGGATGGGGATTTGGACGGAGTGGAGGCGGAGGTCGCCGGCGAGCACGGTGACAGTGTCGAGGGGGATCTTCCCCTTCACGAGGTCCTCGATGAGGAAGAGCGCGTCCTCCAGCACGCGAATGCCGTCAAGCCGCAGGGTCGCCGCTACGAAGGATACCCCTCGGGCCTCGACGACTCCCCCGCCGGCCACCACCGACCCCAGGGGGCGGCCCCGGTACTCGATCCCCACCGTCACGTTGTCGTAGTCGAGGGAGAAGAAGGCGCGATTCTGGACGCGGATCTTCAGATCCATGGCGACGTCGAGCGCCACCAGCGTCCCCTTGTGCTTGGTGGTGATGCGAAGTGAGCGGAGCTTCAAGCGAGCGAGGCGGAGCTCCGGTTCCGACGGCCAGAGGAGGAAGGCAGTAAGGCCGACCACGATCCCCGTGAGAAGGAGCGTGTGGAGGGTGGAGAAGAGGAGCGCGTCGACGCAGGAGAAGCACCGCCTCCGGAGGCCGCGCCGGCGCAAGCACCCGTGGTGGAGAGGTATGAGGAGGTATGGCCGAGGCGACAGCGGCGGCAGATCCTCCGAGTATTCCGCTATCGGGACGCCGTAATACGGCAGTGTCCGCCGGTCGTCGTTCCGGGGAAGGAGAAGCGCTTCCTGCCCTGTCTTTGTGTCGTCGTCTACCTCTCCCGCCTTGGCCATGGGGATAATACTGTGGTCGTCTTCCTATTTCCTCGTCTGGCAGCTCCTGCTACCGCTGCCTCTTCCCGCATCCTCCCAGCTGTTTTAGAGAGAGAGAGAGAGGTGGTGGTGGAATAAGGTTACGCGGGTACCGGTTTGGCCGGTTTGAATGGCAGCTTCGGCGAAACTCGAGATTTTATTATGCTCACGCCCGTCCACTTACCCTCACCCCACATCTGTTCTCATGTTCTGTGGTGCACCCAGGAACGCTATGTCAAACCAATAGTTGTGTCAATAATAAGGAATGTGGTGTAACTTCATCACAATCTATACGGGAGAATCCTCACCCATCGTAGTACACAGCCGAGACAATCCGTCCACATCCGTGGAAATGCATCTAGGCCGTCTCCCACCCCCGCGTGGTCTTTCGGGCAAACTATCAACGTTGGCCGTACGATCCGTGTCCGCTCTGAGAATCTTGGGGTGTGAAAAAGGCGTCGCTCCCACCCAATCAGCATTTCAATGGGCTGATGAGCACAGAGCTCCCCAGAGTGACCCATCTTCCCTTGGCACTCGGTTTCTTCTATGATAATTTCTACTCTCTCTCTCTCTCTAGCTATCTATCTATCTATCTCAAAAGATACACGGGGCGAACCAGTTAGATTGGGTTCTTTGGGCTTCTATACAGGCTCTTTGGGCCAAGCTTCGGTCCAGACACTTGGGCTGGCCAAGACAGGTCCATTGAAGACCTTTGGGCTAACCCGGCACCTTCCCTCTCACACGAATCTTAAAAATCAGGCAAATATATAAACTTAATACAATTTATCATATATAGAATACGTCTACTAGCTCCCCTTCTACTAAATTCATAGCTCAAGCAGCTTAATCCCAACAAATACCACTTATAAATTCATGGCCAAAAGCAGCCAAACGTTAGAGACTCGCCACTGGCATATCATTCTAAATTGATTGCTTCAAAAATTCCAGTGCCTACAAGAACTTACTACTAATAATAAATTGGTACCATTGTGAATCAAATAGTATGAAAGATAAACTAGATTGAACCTTAGGACTACTTGTTTTGTAACTTCTTTGGGATATGTTAGCCTAGAATTGGAGGTCATTATTGCTCTTTTAATCAATACATTTTTGACTTAAAAGAGTCAATTCATCATTATCAAAGCACAAAATTTCTTCTGAAAAACATTTCTAATTGAGCATCAATAATCTCTAGGCTTAGTTGACCCATCACCATGCCCAAAAGGAGTTCAAAATAAAACCTCTCTAATGGGTACCAAGGAGATGATAATTATTTCTAATTTTCAACTATTAAAAGAAGCAAGTGTTAACCCTTTGATGATGATATAAAATTTGTTTGTTTTCATTGTTGGAGTAGCAAACTCAATTTTAAATAAATTATCAAGAAATCCATAATTTTGAAACTATTTTATAATTTTTAGAACTATTGGTAAAAAAGGACTTCCTAGGCAATAAACTTCAGATGTGAATTAAACCCATGATTTCAATTTTAAAACCAAAATTATCAAAAGAACTTTGGGTCAACAACCCTAAAGCCACAACTACTAATGCCAAAAAAAAAACCCATTGACATGGTTAAGCTATCAACAACCCTCATGGGGACATAATTTCATAAGAGTAAATGTAGAATGAGACTAAAAATATAGTAACAACAAGTTATTGCAACTCTGCATCTTGAATCTTAAGATATATATTTTTAGTTTTAAGAGATGGGAAAATGTTAAATCATAAAAATGGCATTATCTAAAATATGCCCTTGAAACATAGGGTATCACTTGGCTGGTTGATTAACTATGGTTTATGTTTCTTCATAACTAACCACAATACATAGTTTTCTCCTACCCCTTGACTACAAAGAAAATACCACAAATTGGTAGCATCAGTTTATCCATATTTAACCCATTTTCCTCTGGAATATGGAGCAAATACTGACAAGGCGGAATGCTAATTACTCTCTCTCTATCTCTTCTGCCCTTCTTGCTCCTATTTCAATTTCTATCTCCTCTCTCTTACTCTTCGCCTTCTCACTTGTATGCAGATCCTCTCTCATCTCTCTTTCTCCTTAAAATTTGGGACTTAGTTATAAGGTTGCTTAATTCGGCCTGGCGTTGTTGCGATGAGCCACAAATTCCACTGGGCTTTAATCACAAATTATTCAGATTAAAAGCTCAAGATTTAAATAGGTAGTTAATTATTTATTTAACCTAGATTTTAATGACATATAATATAATTCATGGGCTAAACTAAAAATATCCGGAGGTGATAACGGGCACTTTCAGTGCTGAGCTTCTCTTACTCCGTCGGGCCCTCCGCCTCCCGACCCCTTCTTCTTCCTCTTCTTCCATCCGGGTTCCTGCTTGATCAGTCAGAGTCCCTTCTCTGGGCGCGTTCGTCTCTGTCTCTCTCTCTGTCTCTCTCTCTCTCTCTCTCTCTCTCGCTCTCTCTCGCTCTCTCTCTATTTTTGTTCAAAGTGCATTGGGAAGTTCATCGTCTAATCTTTTTCAGCGAGCAGCTAGCTGCAGTCGCTGCCATCATATATGGGCTACGCCCTGACCTCATCCCAGCAACTCGGATTCAGGGTGGGCCACCTCCTCCCTTCCCAGCGGCACGGCTACGGCTACGGCGACCTCCCTAGGCACCAGGAGTATCGGAAGCATCATCAGAAGCAGTTTCTATGGCGTGGATTTCTTCCAGGAGAGCCCAAGGGGAGGAGATGTCGGACTCTCATCCCTAGAGCTGCTTCCGGGAAGGGTCGAAGAGTAGTAACGGATAGAGGCGGTGGAGAAGGCAACCATTTGTCTTCCGAGCAAGGCTCCTCTCTTCCCCTTCCTGTCAAGCAGGTGGCGTCCTTCTTGCTCCCTGCGGGCGCGTTCGTGGCCTTCTCATTTGGTGTGCACCTTTCACAGTTTCGAAATATTTTCTTTTATGATTCTTCTCTCCGTGTTAGCTTTATAATTCGGTTCCACCTCAGATTAGAAGGTTTTGTGGAAGCCATTGTTAATCAATCTTGGCGACGTAAGTTGTGGTTCTTGAGTAATTATTCGAGCGCGATTGTCGGATTTTTCTGGGGTTATACTCTTGTTCATTTGGGGTCATAACGGAAGATTCCTCTCAAGTTCCTTAGGGCCTTCCTTTCAAGTATGATTCGCGAAGAGCTTTGAGATGTGTGCGAAGGAGAGCAGCTCCCACCGGAATATTGTTATTTTTGTGGAAGATAACTTTTGCCCATGCGAACGTGTTAAGTATATTATCTGATTAAGTGAACAACACAGCTTCTTGTTGTTTGGAGAGGCCATCATTTATCATTTATTCATACGTGGTCATCCAAATGAGGATTTCACTAAAATTAGATGAGATGTTATGAGTTCTACCTTTTTAATTATCCTGAGTATCCTGTATCGAGGTTTTAGGCTTTTTTTTTTAATATGTTGTGCAACCATTCTTATGGCAGTTTTCTTTTCCCATTCATGGTAAAACTCATCGAGAGTCAGCATGATTGACAGGTGTTCAGGAAGTTCAGTTTTTTGCATCTCGTAGTTGTTATTCTGTATGTCATGTACGTAATATGTAAACCTAGCATGGAATTAAGCTGGTGTCCTTCCAAAGAATGTTTTATATTGATGGGCTCAAAAGTGGCATACTAGCTAAATTCTTCAAGAATTGCCTTTACTCGCGATTCTAAGCATTTATTTGTGTTTTAAAGAACGTTATGGAAAGGGCAAAATTTAAATTCTTAAGGGTGTGAAAGTTTCTAGGTTTCTCTTTTGCCACTAGAATGTACTATGACATACTGTTAACTTATTTCCTCCTCTTTTTCACGTGAGTAATCCCTCTTTTGGTATCATTATTTCTTTGGTGAACTGAAGGAAGCGTGATTTTATGACATCAGTGGACTCTTCCTTCTATGCTAGGATGATAAAATGTTTCATTATCACTGCTGCAACCATTTTTTCTCACTGTGTTGATCAGAATAGTATTTGGTCGTCCAAAATCTGTCATTATCTTCATTATCATTTATCTGTGTTCTATTGCTCAAGAAAGTATTTCCATTTCCGGGGCACTATTTTAGGCTACGCCAATGTGTGGTGGTTACTTTTATTCAGTTGCTTGCAGTTTGTTTATATCATGCCCCTTAGACTTGAAAGGACCAGGAAATGCATGGAAAATAGTAAATGGAAAGCCAGGTCGCATCGGATTAAGAGTTGGTAGTGGTCATTGTGTCATTAACCACCAAATCTTATTTTCCAACGTATAAAGCCCAATTTATTCATATTTTAGAATAATCTGGGGAAAAGCCTTCACCCCATCCCACTCATTTTCTCTTCGGCCTAGACTCTTACACACCCACTTGCATATAGTATGAAGGGCGTTGTTTTGCCATGTATGAGTGGCTTGACTATTAATTGAAATTCAAAAGTTTATCTTACTACTCACCCTCCCTAATGGCCGTTAAAAGTTGGTGCTCATACTGATCCATCACTTTTCAACTGGTAGTGTTATGGAAGGTGGTTGAAAGATTGCTAATACCAAAGCCAAAAGGGGCATCTTCTGCGGCTGTTGAGAAAAAATCTTCATTTCCCGGTATGAAATGGCTGGTTTCTCCTGGATCAAATTTGCCAACAGGTTCTGGGTTGAAGATTGAACGGGAATCAAGGCAAAGACTCAAGGAGTTTGCAAAAGAACTTCGGACATTTCAGAGAGTTGACATGTCAGGTGTTCTGTTCATATACATACTTTTTTCTCATTGTGAGGACTATGAGTAATGTTGTCATGCTCCAATATGCGGTCATCAATAATGTTAAACAAAAATTGAAAATTCCTTCTGCCTAGGTATTTATTTATGATAAATAAGCCTATCACTACGGTTGTTAACTAAGAAATTTCATGTAAAGCTTATAACAATTATATATTTGACTTAAACGGTTGCATCAACTTGAGGTTGTTGCAGACTATTTGCCTCTTTGGTAAATCTTTTGCTGAAGCCAAATTTCAACTATCCACAGGCCGCAACTTTGGTGATGAGGGTCTTGTTTTTCTTGCTGAAAGCTTGGGGTACAATCAGGTGATTTTTTTGGCTCAGGGTCAATCTTAAAGTGGTTTATAGACTTCATGGGCTTGCTAATTATATCGAGCTTTTCCATTCTAGAAGGACATAAATAATAGCACAGGGAGCTTTCCTTTTCAGTAATTTTGGTGTATCAGTAACATTAGCATGTGATTTCAGTCTGCAGAGGAAGTGGACTTTTCTGGCAATGGCATTACAGCCACAGGAATTAAAGCTTTTGATGGTGTGCTTCAGTCAAATTTTGCCCTGAAAACTCTTAATCTTTCTGGAAATGCCATTGGTGACGAAGGCGCCAAGGTTGTACTCTCTCAGTGCTGGTGCTAGTTTGGGTTCATATAAATTGTATACTACTGTGATATTGTGGTTGGTTATTGAGCATCCTCTTTAACACTTTTTCTTTCTGGTTTGATTCGCCTACCCAAAATTGAGAAGCCATCATCAATAAAATGATAATTAAATAATGTGTACAAATTATTTTTTTTGTAAGGAATTGTAATTCCTTTTTCTGGAAGAACTGGAGGAGAATAAAGCAGGGACATCGATGGTTTCCCATGCTTTTCTGTTGGTAAAAAATGATCTTTGATCTGTATTGGGTCGCATTATGGGCCTCTTGCTTGCCACGAATGTTGTACTAAGAACACGTTACTACAATTCATTGATTGTTAAGAATAAACTTACCTGCATGTGGTATGAAGGATGTTGTGAACAGTGGAATAATTTCATAGACTCGATTGGTGAAGAATGAGGTTGGTTGCCGCATGAACTGTGGAATAATTTCATAGACTTGATTGGTGAAGAATGAGGTGGGTTGTGGCATGAACTGTGGAATAATTTCATAGACTTGATTGGTGAAGAATGTGGTGTGTTGCGGCGTGAACTGTGGAATAATTTCATAGACTTGATTGGTGAAGAATGAGGTGGGTTGCGGCGTGAACTGTGGAATAATTTCATAGGCTTGATTGGTGAAGAATGAGGTGGGTTGTGGCATGAACTGTGGAATAATTTCATAGACTTGATTGGTGAAGAATGTGGTGGGTTGCAGCGTGAACTGTGGAATAATTTCATAGACTTGATTGGTGAAGAATGTGGTGGGTTGCGGCGTGAACTGTGGAATAATTTCATAGACTTGATTGGTGAAGAATGAGGTGGGTTGCGGCGTGAACTGTGGAATAATTTCATAGGCTTGATTGGTGAAGAATGAGGTGGGTTGTGGCATGAACTGTGGAATAATTTCATAGACTTGATTGGTGAAGAATGTGGTGGGTTGCGGTGTGAACTGTGGAATAATTTCATAGACTTGATTGGTGAAGAATGTGGTGGGTTGCAGCGTGAACTGTGGAATAATTTCATAGACTTGATTGGTGAAGAATGTGGTGGGTTGCGGTGTGAACTGTGGAATAATTTCATAGACTTGATTGGTGAAGAATGAGGTTGGTTGCTGCACTTTCCCTTATCAGCTTTTCTACTATCATCAGGACACAGCTTCATTGAATGCAATGAATAGTTGGAGTTGTTATACAAGCATTTGACGAAGTTAGATAGGAAGTTTTTTGACAGTTTTGTTTCACTAGATAATCTCTACTGCTGCAGCAGGGCTCTCGTTTTAGCATATTACTGATAGGACGGACCTCTATATACAATATACAAGTTTCTTGCTGGTATCCTTGTCAAACTACTTTTATTGGTGTCATTCTTCTGATTCGGTGGGAAATGGGAAAAATAATATGAGCTTATCATTAATGGTCATTATTGAATGGAAGGTCAATCATCGTGTTAATTTTCACCTTTCATGAAATTAACATATTTTATTTTAGGATCTGAGTCTCATAAGTATTAGGATCTGAGTCATCATCTTTATTTAATAGTATTGATATAATCAATCCGTCTCCCCTCCTCTATATCTTTTCTTCTGTATTCTTTTTCTTTTTAAACTCATGGAGAGCTTACCCATGCAGTGGTGCTGCTGTTGAGGTTAGAACATTCCTGTTGGCCTCCCATGGACTATGGATGCCTCACTCTGTGGGTTTCACAGCCCATTATCCTCCTTAATGATGGCTTCTCGGCCTTGACTCTTTCCCTTCGCGAGTTTCTGAATCAATGAAGTGAAATGTGGCTGAGCCTGATTGGAGCCAATCAAGGCCTCTGGAATCAAGGACCAGTTCTGTTGTGCTGGCTTTGAATCAGCACAATTGAACTGAAATCAGTTGGAGAAGAACTGAACTGACAAGAACAAGACAAAAACGCTAACATAGGAATATCCTATATCTTGTTTAGATAAGAGTAATTTTTAGTTTACCAGAACCAGCCTGGATCTGTTTTCTAGTACTGTGATGGGTTATCATTTTTTGTCCGCCATGGTTTCTATTTTTTCGTTATGGCCCTAAGAGCACATAAAAGGTTTAGTAATTATGTGCTTTTGTGATTATTTTAGCTGCATTTTATGTTTGGTTATGGGTATCTTGCTTGTTTTAAATTGCAAGGTTTTAAACTATAACGTAGAAATTTTCCTGGCTTTCAGTGTCTCTCAGAGATCCTGGCCAAAAATTCTGGTATCCAGAAACTGCAGTTGAATAGCACTAGTCTTGGGGATGAGGTCTGCTTGCCACTCCTGCTTTGTTTCTTCTTGGTGGATTTTGATGAAAGCGATTCCCTTCTTGTCTTAATTCATAATCAATGTATCATGTGGGATGTCCTCCAGGGAGCGAAGGCTATCGCAGATATGCTCAAAAGGAATTCATCTCTTCGAGTTTTAGAACTTAACAACAATATGATTGACTACTCCGTAAGAATGTCTAAGTTTGGCGCTTGAATACATTTGAAAGCAGTTGACATAAAGGATACACATTACTTACTTTTGTGATTCTTCTGATTCTTGAGGCAGGGATTTGCAAGTCTAGGTAGTGCACTTCTTGAAAACACAGCCATTCGCTCAATACATCTCAAGTTAGTTACTTGTTTCTTAACTATTTTTAGTACTCCTACAGTTTCCCTTATTCATATATTTTCGTTATTTGTCATCTGAGGATTTCACTGAGGATCGTCTATTAGCAGATGTTGAAATATGCTATTTGCCTTGTGCATTGTCAGACAAGATAAGACTTATATGGCATTTTCAATAAATCTATTAGTATGCTGATGTGCATACTAACCGGTTCTGTAATCTTTCTCTTGACCTCTTTTTCAGTGGAAACTATGGTGGTGCTCTCGGTGCTGCCAGTCTAGCAAAGGGCATCGAGGGAAACAAGTCGTTAAGGGTAATGCACCTCCCTCAAACAGTAACCTTTATTGACATTATTTTCCCTACTGCCAAGGTTGTGGAATCTAGGTCCAAAACTTGTGCTAGGCTTACCTGATGATCCCCTGCAGAAATCCCTATATGAATTTGAGCTCAAGCTTGCAATATTTTTGGGTCGTCTGTTTCTGGAAAGTTGTCTATGGTTTGTGGCTACCAGAGCAATACAAGATGGGATACGACAAATCTGTAGTTCTCTAGAATGAGGGTCCTAGTTCTGAAGTGCTATGCCCAAAGAACATAACTGAATATACTTTTTTGATGTTTTGTTTCTTTAAAATATTGAAAACTTTTTCCTGAAGACAACCCGTTAAATGTTTAAAAAATATTCTGAGAGATAATAAACGCATTAAGGCATGTATACTTAGCTTTGGATGGTTACTTTAAGTTGTTTCTTCTTTAAAAAGTCTTTACGCAAGAAATGGGAAAAAGAGAATCATGCTTGTGACAGTCACTGAAGAAATCAGTTATCAACAATTTGAGATGGATTTCTGAAAATATAGAATGCTACAAAAAGAAGAGAAACCGCTATAATTCCTGTCGGTGGGACAGTTCTTCCTCCAGCCTCTGTTGTACTCTTTAGAGAGCACCTTGTTAATATTTGTGTCAAGGAATAACTTGTTCTTTGCGGTCAAGTATGATTCTTTTTTACTTAATAGAAGAAGAAAACAAGACCATGCTGTCGAAGTAATATGATTATTTTCGTATGAAACTCGTACACGTTATGAATCTCTTGTAGGATAGAATTCTTTAGCATGCAGCTTTACATGCTCCCAAAATCAGTTGATATTTTTCGTGCATATTTTTCTGATGTCAAATTGAAGATTCTTGCATATCAACGAGCATGAAGTTGTGCCCTGAATTTGGTTGGGTTTATGTTGTTTCGCAGGATTCTGGACAAGTTTTTTTTCTTTGTAGATCATATGCATTCTTTCTTTTCAAAATGTTGAATTTATCCTGTCAACCGCTTCTCTTGTTTAATAAGGATGAACGTGCGGCCATTTACTATATTTTAACACTTCTATCTTCATGTGGTTAACAAGTTCTTCTTGCATAGGTTTAGTGTGGGACAATTTATGTTACTTTATATCATATGATCACTTGTTCCAAGTGTTACCAGGGTGTTTTTGATGCAGGAACTTCATTTGCATGGAAATGATATTGGTAATGAGGGTGTACGGGCTTTGATGGCTGGGCTATCTGCTCATAAAGGTTGAATTAGTTTTGTGCAACTCATCAATCTTATGCTATATTTTCTTCATTTCTTTATATTTTCTCACATCAGAAGTTCCATTGCAGGGAAGATCACCCTGTTAGATCTGGGGAACAATGACATTGGGTCTGATGGTGCTTTCCACGTGTCTGCATACGTTAAGAAAACTAAATCCCTGTTGTGGTTGAATCTTTATATGAACGACATGTGCGATGAGGTACTATTGAAATGTAGCAGTATTTTGATCTTTTTCCTTCATGTTAGCAGTACTATTGAATATCATGAGATATATTTAGAACTACATTCCTAGATATATCTCCATTCTTTATATATATTCTTCCTAATACTTAAGACTGTCAGATATTTTTGAGGAAGTTCTGTTTTCTTCCTGTCACTATGTTTTCATTTTCCCTTTTTGTAAGCTCTTTCTGGGCATGCTTAATTTTTAGGCCTTCTGAAGATATTTGGAGAGAAACTCTCCCAGCCGTTTAAATATAGTAAATGTTGAATTCATTCATATTAGTGAAGAATAAGTTCTTTCATCAAATACTATAATGCCTAATTTATGCATCAATGTTCTTTGATTTTCTGTGGTATTAAGTAACAATTTTATACTAGGTTTAGGATTTGGGCAATGTTTAAGTTTTACGATGATTGTAGTAGTTAGACCAGTATTTTTTTTAATTAATGCCTATTTTAAAGTCTAGTAATATCCATTTGTGTATATGCTGTCACAGGGAGCCACAAAGATGGCTGAAGCACTGAGGGAGAACCGGACCATTACTACCATAGACTTGGTATGTTCCTTAAAAAATAACTTCATTGGGTTGCTTATTTTATCCAGGGGTCGTCTAATATTTCCGTAACTGACGTATCTTCTGAGTCAGTATCTTGTGTACCTCTTTTTATTTATAAGTTTATCACTGATTAAAATGAAGAGATATTATGGTTTACACAGATATCATGTACATAAATATATAAGGACTTTTCTTAATACTTTAACCTTTTAAGTTTCATGATTAACCTATACATTTTACCCGAGTTATTAATACTAATGTTGTCCCAAAATCAGAAAATCTGTTGTGATGTGATGTATTTTTACGTGTGTATTTTTACTACGTAAAATCAGAAAATCAGAATTAATCCGTGTGTATTTTTACTGATGTGATGTAGGCTTCTGTCATATCGTTACTCAACTAGTCGTTCCTTGTTCAATGTCTAAAACGGGTTCCTAGAATTCAAAACTTCCTCCTTTCTTTCACCTCTCTCTGTGTAGAGATCTTTTCTCTGTTTCCACTCTGAATGGGATTTTGATGACTTCTTTTTATTTTTTGTCTTCATTCTTTTCACGGTGTTTTTCCCATCAAAGAATCCACATTTGGATTGGCTCATCCCTGCTTAGGGTTGTTAGGTTTTTTGGCAAATCAATAATTCTCAATTCTAATCTTGTACCTGTTCATTCTTTCTTTCTTACTCTGCAAAAGAAACTAGTCTTCTGTTTATTCTGCATTCCATCAAAGCAAATGCATGGATTCGTGCAAATGATAGCCTCAGTCTGTGGTCAGAATTTCTCTCTCGGGGTTTCCCATTACCAGCAGCAAACCATCATTTTCTTCTCTATTTTCTTATCTCTTGAGGCTATCTATATTCATCCATCCCAGTGGATTCATCCTTTTCATCTCTCATTTCTATCTGCTTCAGGGTGGTAATAATATCCATGCAAGTGGCGTTGCCGACATTGCACGTGTTCTGAAGGATAACTCTATCCTAACCACAGTGAGTCCTACATTCTTTGGGCATTTGTAAATCATCCAAACTCTGATTAGTATCATTATATGCATACATAAACTCATTCCTTTTTCGAAGCTGGAATTGGGCTATAACCCTATTGGCCCTGAAGGAGTGAAGGCTCTTTGCGAGGTCATCAAGTTCCATGGGAAGATTGAAATACTGAAACTCGGGTGGTGCCAGGTGATGATCCCGTGTTCTTAATCCTTTGCTTCACTGATTAACTCAACTTACATGATGGCTATGGCATTGCAGATTGGCCCCAAGGGTGCAGAGTATGTTGCTGATGCCCTTAAGTACAACACAACCTTATCCACTCTAGATTTGCGGGCGAACGGACTTGGAGATGATGTAGCTGCCCACTGATTATTCCTTTTTTTAAGAATTTTTTTGCTCCATAAATAATTTTCTAAAATATTCTGATATCCTTGATGCCTGCGGATTTGATGCTTGTTGTTTATTCCTACTTTTTTTAAAAAATTAGTTTTTTCATGAATAATGTGATAATACATTTTGGAATCCTTGATGTCTGCCAATTATTTCTTCTCTTTAAAACTTTTCCTTCAATGCATGAATAATTTTCGAATAGATATTTTGAGATCCTTAATGACTACCAGTTTTTATTTTTACTTTTAAATGAGTTAATTCATAAATAATTTTATAACATTTGCTGAGATCCTTGATGCCGGCCGACAATCCCTTCTTTTAAAAATGTTTGTTTAGTACGTGGATCAGAGTAGCTAATGTATCCCCTGACCACACTTGATTATTCCTTTTTTCAGAAAACGTTATTCAGTGTGTAAATTAAATGTCTAATATGTTCTAACATCCTCTCTCATTAATCTCAGGGGGCTGTTTGCTTGGCCCGCAGCCTGAGGATCGTCAACGAAGTCTTGACCTCGCTCGACTTAGGATTCAATGAGATCAGAGTAGGCCACGCTTTTATATGATCTTGGGTCTAATCCAAAAAGGCAAAAACATCCAATAGGGGAACATTCTCACCGACATTTTTCTCCGGAACCAGGACACGGGGGCCTTCGCACTTGCCCAGGCCCTCAAGGCAAATGAGGACATCTCGCTCGCCTCCTTGAATCTAGCCAGCAATTTCCTTACTAAATATGGACAGGTTTGTTCCTCTTCCTTCGTCCTTTGATGGGCGAGTGATGTTCCTCACTGCCATGGGGGGGTTCTTCTTCATTGAGGGTTCCCTCTTAAGCCGCAGGTTGCTCTGACAGAGGCCAGGGATCATGTATATGAGATGAACGAGAAGGAGCTCAACATATACTTCTGACCGAAGCCGCCTCTCCCAAAACCATTCGGTATGATTTTAATTCAATTTATGGGTTTTATTTATCTCAGGGCGTTAAAAATAATATTTTCTCGGCAATTTGATTGCATGGATTCGTTTGGGTTTGTCTTGAATATCTTCATCTGTGTTTTTACTTGTTGTAGAGCAGGTCCACATTGAAGAGAAATAAATCAGCGGAAGAACTTGTTGTAGAAAATTTTGGTAGGCTTCTGTATTTATGAATTCCGACGCCCCTTTTTTTTAGAAAATTTAGCCTATTTTCTTGTCCTTGTTTTGCCTTCCACTATTGCCGTCTTTGAACTTGAAGAGGGGAGCCGTTGTTTGCTGGCCGGGCCCCTGGCTGATCCTCATCTGGTATTATTATCTAACACACTGTGAACTACAACAACTGTTCAGTTAATTAGTCTAGTGGGCCCGGAGCCCGGATAAAGCCCAGATAAAGCCCAGATAAAGCCCGGATTCAGCTAGGGTCATCAGTACTGGGCCCGCGAATGGTGGGCCTGAGCCCAGAACCTGTGCGGTGGGCCTTTTTTGCGGACCCGGGCTCATGAACAAGTCAGGTTCGGAGGGCAGAGGCGAGCTTATCTGGTTGCCCACGAATGATAGGGCCGGGCCCACGGCCTGTTGTTTGGGCTTTTTTCGGGCCAAAGCGCGGGTTCGGATTGAGCCCTGATATTCATCCGAATTTTTATCGAATCGGTTCGATCTTGGACGACTCTGAATGGGATGGGTGGATCATAAAATATCAAGAAGACCTCGAAATGCTTCTGGTTTATTATAGATTGGATGAAGATCACGGGAGCCCTGAGATGAAGAGGTTAAGAAAGGCGGCGACGCCACCGACACCCGACGTGCGTCAGATTGAGACTGATGATCAGACGCAATGGAAGAAGATGATCGCCGCTAGGTAGGACAGAGAAATTTGGTTATAATCTGTAGGCTGTGGGAGATTAAGTGGGCATCGGTAGAAGAGTATTCCTCACAGCCATGGACTTTGGTGGGTAAACCCATGAGTTTTATTCCCCGGAAGCCCCTTCTAGCACTATCACTCAGCGAGAGAGAGAGAGAGCTACGGTGTATTAATCGGCACAACTTAAGACCACCCATCATTCAAGTTACAAGCCAAGCATGAAACTGTGATCATGAGAGATGAAAAAACTCACACACACACACACAGGAGCGCACTCAGTGGCTTTAAACAACGACGAGGTAAGGATTAAACTGTGATCGTGAGAGATGTAAAAACCCCTAAAGCATATGAAAGCAGGAATACCTCCCTTCCACGAACCACACGAGAATGTAATAGAGAACTCGAAGCGTTCAACGACGGCTCAACCCAGTTTCTGCGAAATGGAACTGCCCCCCTTGGCATCGGCAGGCAGGGAGTCGCTACGGCGGGACCACGCCGACGAGGAGCTCCGGTGGTGGCGGCAGCGGAAAGATCCCCGGTGGGTGGTCGGGGAGCACAGGCACTGGGCGCCGCTGCCCGCGCCAGCCTTGCCCGACGACGAGCCAGAGTCGCCGTCGCCACCTCCGCTCTTGGGGGACCCTGCCATGGCGCCACAGCTGGGGGAAGCCATCGCCGGCCGGTGCAACTCGGGTCGGCTTAAGTCTCAGTGAGAACAAACGTGGGAGAATAGGAGCTCCACATGATATGGTCTGGTTCTCTCTGCCCCAAGTTTCCCTTCCAGAATAAGCCTGATGTGATGAGAGGCCAAAACAGACGTGACATCCAAGAATGGTAAGCCGTAAGTAATTTCATACCATCTATTATCCCTCTACCCATATATATATATATATATATATATATATATATATCTATGAATACATTTGTGCAGAAAGGGGGATTTTCAACAGGCAAGAACAGCCAAAACCCGGACTTCGTAAGCACCCGTATAAGAGGGAGTGAGTGAGTGAGAGAGAGAACTAGTTCATTACCATAGGTCATTCCCTATCAGGGCAAGCTTGCTTTCCTTTCTGGGCTTCAGATTAAGATCAGAATTTGGAAAGCCTGGGGGTGATGCCATGCTTTAAACTTACCCTATCCACTGTCTGCACCACATCAGGTAAGTAAAATAGGGCTCTGTGTGACCGTTCGATTACCTGGAAGACGAGATTTATGACATGTTTATGTATTTTCTGCATATAAATAATAATAGTAATAATTAGTTATTACGAAGTGCGTTATAGCCTCACATGCACAGCAATATGGTACATTCATGTAGATATATTAAAAACATATCATATTTGCCCTATTATTGTCTCATGTTGCATTCCAAGAGGATGGAAGAAAAATTGAGACCTACTTCCATTTTTATTTTATTTTTTGAGTAATTTCCATGGCATCCCTTGTCTCCAGGTGTGGACCTGAAACCCTTGAAAATATCCGATTAAGCCCTTGCTCGAGACACGATCCATTAAAGGTGGCCAGCACGGGACATGTTCACAACTTTGGTAACCCACTTAATTAAATTGAAACTTTCATCCATGACTTAATATCCACAACATGTTATATTAAATTCTCTAATACATGTACATAAATGACCATTTATGTATACTTTAGGGTAAGAGCATCATCTACACATGGTTTACGTACATATGCATGGTATATATATATATATCCATATATATCGATATACATATGGAATAGTTCTACGTACATATGCATAGGTATGTACGAATGTAGGGTATGACCATGTGGTGGCGATGGGTTTGTGTGACTGCGGAGAAGATTGGAGGGGTGTGGCTGGGTGCTGCTGAGGGGATTCCCCCTCCGAAATAGAGAGAGGGAGAAGTTGCCTCGCTCGTCTTCTTGTGGTCCCCTATTCTGTGTACCTCGTGCCTCCTCAAGCTACCTCGTCTCGTGAGGCTGTTTTGGAGTTTCTGCTGATATATCCTCTTAAAATTTTATATTATATATTCCTTATCACCAATTTATAATTTCGCTTCTGTACGACGGAGAGAGAGAGAGAGAGAGAGAGATATTAATGGGCCGGGCCGAGCTGAGCCATGAGACTAAGACTCGGCTTGGGCCAAGAAGGAAAGCCGGGAAATGGGCTTTGAGTGAAACCCCCAAGAAGCCCAATCTGAATCAGAGAAGCCATGTGGCTGATAATGGAACTGCCACGGCATCTAGAGACCGGATCGCATCAAAGTCTGAACCTGATCCTGGAAGGGACACGACCAAGGTTCATTTCATCGCCCAAATCTTTAAAAAAAGAAAAAGAAAGCCCATCCGGTCCTAGCCAATCTTATCTAGACTTGCTTTGCCTTGTCAGCGCTCTCGCCGCTGGGAATCTAAAGCCGACTTTGGACTGGTAATCTATCATTATCTTTGAACTAAGAAGAGTGAGAAAGAGAACTCATCCAAGTACCCAAGGGTGGACAAAGCGGCCAGTCCCGAGCCTTGGGCCAGATATTAGCGGGTCATAGTCCAAATGGGCCCACGATCCACGTGGATGATTGTGAGATGGACAGTTGGCTGGAACAAACGGCCCAATAAAAATCAAGGCTTTCATCAAATAGATGCGAATCGGTGCATGATTTACCACTCTTTTTGGACTGTCTTGGGTCTCAGGTTTGACCTAGGTGGTTAGAGTAGATTGTAACCTAAACAATGTTAGAGTTGGGGTTACTCTCAATTATGCTAGAGCTAATTATACTATGCTAAATGTATTTGAAGTAACGCCTTCTTCTTCTTCTTCGCCCATTTTATCTTATTTATTAATAATTGTTATTCCTCCGACTTAGTCGTAACAGCTGCAAGGGTCTTCTCTAGTCCCACGGACGTGTATTCTCCTGCTCAACGATCGTAGAAACTTCACTCAAAGGAGAGTTAATATTTATTACGAATAAATACTTGCTAAAAAAAAATCATATATTTTGTGGTATCGTCCCTTCCATGCATGTCTTCAAGATCATAGAGGTGCATATAAGATGGCTCCTTCCCTCCCACTTAGGCAAGGTACCACGACGTAAATTGCTTCCACAAATATCAAATTATGAATTTAATATCGTAAGTATTTTCATCATAGCATATGACCACCCCAACAACCCTTCCGCACTGATTGTTTAAGTATTTCACAACAGGTGATATATACTATTTAGGTGACTATGACTATTTAGAGGACGTGGATTTATCACACGATTTATCATAATTAAGAATTGCACCCTACATTTTTTTCTATTAACGTGTCAAATTAAGATGCATTTAGAAGATCAAATTAACATTGAAAATTCTCAAGATCGGAGACGGCTCCGGTAGCAATGACAACAGCCTCATGAACTGGTTGGAAGTGAAAAAATGGCCCTCTCATCCAAGTGATGGGGATACACATGCTCCCTCCCTGTATATGTAATGTGCTAAAATCAGAAATTTTCCCATCTTTGAAGCATACAAGATCTACATCTCGTCCATCATCTAAAATCAACTAAGCTATGTTCTGGCATCATGATCTAAGCTTTTATAGTTTAGCCATCAGGTCAAAGTCAAATAAGGCCTCTGTGGGCGTTCATATAAAGTCAAATTTGCTTACTTTTATCAATGTGAATTATGGCTGCAGAATTTGGATAAACGACCAAGGCAAAAAGAAACGTGCACTCATAGTCCAACCATTTGTTCATGTGATTGAACAAGACATCTTTGGCTGATCATAAAAACTTGGATTAGTTTAATTCTCATGAATGTCCACATGCTACTTTAACCTAGTCGTAAATGTTGTTTGCCATCAAACTGTCCTCTCTCTGTTAGCCACAAAATAAGCCACTATATACTTGAAAACATTTCTGCATCCAGCATTCTAACACCTTCAACTTCAATATCTGAATAAAATCGTCAAGAATGCCTCTGGAAGGCATCCATGCCAACCCAAAGTCAACCTTCATGAACTAGTAAAAAACAGATTCAACCCTTTTGAACCATCCCCTGGAAATGAGGTCTGAGCTTCAAGACCCACCACCATACATTTCTGAAGGTTTACTGATTTCAAAGTAGACATATACGAAAGAGTTTAAGAAGATCACAAGGGTAGTGGCCTCGGTCATTACCCTCAGAAAAATGAACCATAATTTGGCAGCAAGAAAAATAGCATCTTAGTGATACAGCCCACATGTAATTCCAAAACTTAAAACAAATGAACCGAGTCTCCTTTTAGTAAAACAAGGCGTAAGTAAAACTCGCTACAAAAGGGGGAGGAGGAGGAGGAGGAGAAGAAGAAGGCATTTCTAACCTGATACTTGCAGAAATATATCCAAAGCCTCTACATGGAAGAACGGTAATCGTTCTTCACCTTCCTAGATCGGCAAAAAGAAGTCCAGAACCTCTGCTTAGGACATCTAGAGCTTCATAGAATCATCACCTCTGCTTGCCCGTATAAGTGGGCTACCACGAGAAAAAGAGGCTCCTCAGAGAACACCCTCATGCTCTTCGCCGCATCCTCGACTGTGGCTTGTCAGGGTTCTCCTCCTCCTCCTTTTCAGGGTCCTCCTCTTCCTCCTTCTTCTCCTCCTCCTCTTCATCCTCTTCAGGAGGGTCCGCTGGCAGAGGAGGGGGCAGTGGTGTCTTCATCGGACTGAATTGGGGGAATATATCAGGTCTTCTGCCTGGTTTGGGTCTTTCCCACTCCTACAGTAAATAAAAATATATACGATAAAAAAAGTCAGAAAATTCAGTGATAATTTTCACTGCCCCCATTGGGTTCCTTGCTTCCAAAAATGATTTTAGGCACACACACAACGAAATCTATCAGAAACCATCGAAAAATTATTTGTTATGCTCAGTGGTGTGCCTTTAACAAAAAAAAAAAGAGCAGAATATCCAGTGCCAAAATTACGAACAATTATTTCTAAGACTATCAATCATAGGATACATCTTAGTTTCATGTCTCAACTGATGCGTGGAATTCCAGGTCTCCCATTAAAAGTCATGAGCACATTTAGAAGACTTTAAGACCTTGACTTTGTAGTCTAGATTCATACATCAAAGGGTTTTCCAATCAATAATCCATTCAAGCAAGAAATAGACTGGTTTCAGCAGGAGAAGCCATGCCTCATTAACTTGCCCAAAGGGGGCTGTCACCACTTTCTAGTAGATTCCCACTAACTTAAACTCTGTCATGTGCTTGTAGTCCAGAAAATGAGAGATAGTAACATATGACATCAAGGCAATTTAAATTATATCGGCGGCCCAAATGATTAGATCCTTCATTAAAAAATAACTAGCAATTGAATGATATGATTAGCAAACCATAAATCATCAAGATCAGCCATATACCTCATCCCTCTCACTCATCCACGCACAATATACAAACATTACATTTGCAGAATATTTCATGTAGTGGCTACTACTTGTATGAGCCTTCTGGTTCAATTGGAACATTGGAAATATTCAAACTTGGGTTTCACACGAGAAACGAATCAACTACGTGCTGCCACAGCATTCCAGAAGAAGGGCCTGTAAGGATTTACTTCATTTGAAAGAAGAATAGCCACCAAATGACTGCTCTAAACTAAACAATATTAGCATATCCTCCTAGAATGACAATTCGGAATTTAACCATACAAGGCTCCCCCAACTCCCAAATAATCAATTTTTTACCTTAAATGGACCCACTCCCTCTCATGACCACACAACCCCAAAAATTATATAGAGAAATACCCTACTCTGGTACTGACATCTTAGAATCACCCAATTGAGTCTCCGACAAAATTCTGATACTTAGGAGAGGTTAATTCAGCTCAGCATATCAGGGAATTTGTGAAAATCATCTCATGTTGCAGCAAAAAGATACGTATCATTATTATTTTTTAGAAGAGAGGCTACGATTTTTTGTTTAAAAGCACAGATTCCCAGCCTAAGAAACCAAACATAAATAAAAATGACCAAATTCCAAGGGTTTAGGGACTCCATTCCAAGTAAACATGAAATTCTTCACAACCACTAAGAAAATGAAAGCCCCACAATTACAAAAACATGAGGTATCATTTTTGGGATTTGGATGGAATTCAACAATGCTCAGGGTGGAAGACCTGGGAAACAATCACATATGTCAGCTATTCTAAACCAGAAACCTCAGACTTTAAAACTATGATTCCAGTTTTTATTGATTCATTTGGAATAATCAAGCCTAGAAGCACATGCCGATGCCAGTTTGTGACTCGAGGCATGGATGGAGAGGATTTAATCCTCACCTATTTGGGCAGACTTGGAGCAACATAAATCGAATTGAGTCAGCCAATAGGCTGATATCGGGGAACAAAAGTTAGACCAAGATTTGCAGACTGGATTTTTTTTAAAAAAAAACAAGTACGAAGAAAAAATGAGAAAATCAATAAAATGGATAAAGTAACTGGCATTGGCCTGTACGAATTAGTAAGAAAAGTAAAATAAAATAAGGGCCTCCTCATCTTCTCCCTGGTCTTTTCCTGCTTCCTTCTTTCGTTTGAACTTTTAAGCCAACCTTACGAACTATGTTTTCTTCTTTGTGAACTCAGGGGACTTTCTTTTCCCTGTCATGGTAAACAATCATTGCCTAAAACAACATCGGAATTGAATGTTAGTACTCGATGAATTATTCAGTGCCATGCTTCCACTGTGAGACAACCGATTTTCCAAAGTTCGTAATTCCTTTCTTCATACAGAGATGGCTATGCTAATAAAACGGAATGGAGAAAAATATAAGAATCACTAGACTTTGGATTGACCAAATTTTTGATTTTCTCTAAGGTCGCATAATAGGCCAATTTTTTTTCTTGGATATGAACTAGAAACATGACATCTCATCGTAGACATGAAGAAAATAGCCATGGATTCGGGTTGCTCCTTCATTCATGGATTAGTTTCGGGCTATCGGCCCCCAGATCTATGAATTTGATCTTCATATCCTCACAATTAATAGAATACAAGATGAAAATAAAGAAGATCAATGGAATCTTGTACATTAAGAATTAATCCTTTGTAGGGAACCCCTAGCGAAGACAAACACTGGATATCTGAGGAAAATTGAAAGGATGAAAGCATAGGAGAATCCTCAGCCACCAAAGTTCCTCTACAACCAATCCCTCAGCGATGACAAACACTGAATACCTGAGTATGATTCTCGAGTTGGTACTCCGCAGACAGCTCTGCTGCTGTTTACGGTGTCACCAGAGGTCTCATACAAATACAAGAGACAGCATCACGTGGAACAACTAGAAAATGGAACCGGTAAAGCGGACGACTACAAGGAATAGAGAGCCCGAGAATAGAATTCATAGAAAGAGGGACAGAGATGGCCTTACGATTGGGAAGTCGAGCGGCGACCGGCGGGTCATCTTCTCTTCGTCGGGGGCCATAGAAACGACCCCACTCCGCGTCCTCCCGCCCCTTCTCCTGTTTCCCCACCCTCCTACGAGGGCCCCGCCGCTTCTCCTAAATACGGAAGAGGAGGCGGCGGGTCGTTGCCCGCGTCTTCCTGGGCTATTCGTTGCGGTGGATGGGTGCGCGAGCGGGGGCACGGCCGCGTAGAGGCACCACGAACTCGCCGCCATAGCAGATTCCTCGGGTCTCTCTCTCTCTCTCCAACTCTAGAATTCCGCTGGCTTTCCGGCCAGCAAAGCTTGCGGCTACCTGGTGCTCGGGGCCTCATCCAAAAGAAGCCGCCACAGCAGCCCACCCCCCCAAAAGGGCATCTTAGTACTTTACTCGTTCTCTAGAGTTTTCTCATACAACCAGTTAATTCCCCGAAATGCAACGTCATCATGACGCAAATAATAATAATAGTTATCATTAATACTTATTTGAGAAAATATTAGTATGTCCATTACAGTATGAGAAGCTTCTTCGCCCAGTAATATAAGAAAATGACTCAGATTCCAAGATGGAGAGAGAGAGAGATGGCTGTGCCAGGCCGGGCCGGTACCGGGCTTCATAGGTCTACCTGATGAGCCCCTTTTATAACGCCCGGGCTGGCCCGTTTTATAACGCTACCGTCTGATTTTGAATAAGCCGCAGCGACTCCGAGCGCCAAAGAAAAGGTCAGTCAGTGGCTGTGCCGGAGGACGGGATGGCTTGCCGGACACAGCCGCCGATCGCCGTCGACATTCTGTCTGACGACGAGGAGGACGATGTGGACCCCCTCGTCGATGGCTTCGTCCCCGACTCGCTCTCCCCCCGCAGGAGGAAGAAGGCGGTGGGGCGGCGAGGAGCTTCGCCGCCGCCGCCGCCACCGACATCACAACCACTGTCGGTTTTCATTTTGGTCGACGATGATCCCACCCCACAAAAGAAGCCCTCTCTGGAGATTAGTACCCCGTGCTTCGTCGCCGAGACGCCCATGACGCCGTCGTCCGACCCTGTCATCCTTCCGTGCTCCCGTCATCTCCTGCGGAACAGCGCTGCTGGGAAGAAATCGGACAAATATCCAGGTGAGTACCGAACAGACTCGAACATCGAGCGCGACTTCTCTGGGACGAATATTTTCTGCTCAGATTCGCCCTTTCTGCGTTTCTTGATATGCTTTGGCAGGAATCAACAAGTTCATATGCTTGGAGTCCGACGACGAAGAAACTAGGGGTCAGTCTGGGAAGGAAAGCCCGAGGATTGAGATGATGGCCGCGGAAATTGAAAGGAGAAGCGAGGTGGGATGTTCAGGGAACGTCGAGACCAGCAATAATGATGACATGATGAGGTGTGGCGGCCCCCCGTATGTGGGTGTCGAGGGAGACTGCTTGAATGCTACTCTTGCTGTAGGAAATTGTGATCTGCCTGTCGTTCATTCTGTAGGGGACAGTCCTCTGCCCAGTAACCCCAAATCATTGAATGAAGACAACATGTTTCCTCAGGTATTATTTTAAATTCTTAACAGTGTATTAATAGGAAAATCTCGCTTAATTTACTATTCTCCTGGTCTTTCAAGTCTTCAATGTATGCATTCTTTCACTTTCTGTCACTATTTACCATTCTTCCCAGCTGTTATGATTCTGTGTAATGTTTTGGTTCGACATTGCTAAAGCGTCTGTCCCATGATAATGGACTTCACAGCACCAGACTGAATGTAGCCATTATGAAGGTGACATCGCCTTGGAGCATATAGTTGGCACAAAGAGAACGAGTAGGAATTGTCTGCCTGATAATTCTAATAAAGGGAGAATCAGAGATGAAAGGATGGCTAGAAAAAAACAACTGAAAGAAGAAAAAGGTCGTCTGAATGAAGAAAAGAAAAGAAAAAGACAGGCAAGTATTCTTGATCGTGCTGATGCTTGGAATTGATGAAATTTAGCCTTTTATTGCATGTTAGAGAATGTTTTTATATACTGATGTTCAGGAAGAGAAGCTGGCTAAGGAAGTGATGAAGGCTGAAGCGGCAGAAATGAAGAAACTTCACCGGGAGAAGCAGAAGTGGGAGAAGGGGAAGTTTGCATTAAAATGCATAGTTGCTGAGATTGATGCAAAAGTTGTTGAGAATGGGTCAGTTGGTGGTATGCTTTCTTTGATCGTTTTGTTGTGACTTTTGGTTTCATTATGCTTTCAGCTTTTCTTCTACCAATGCAGAACTACAGGACCTGTTTTCTTAATTCTTTGTCTACACTATATAGGCCATCTTCTTACAAGATTTGCTGAGAAAGGTATCTCGTTCCGCATAACCTCAAATCCAATTGAAAGGTCAATCTTGTGGAAAATGAATGTTCCAGATGAGCTGTCGCAGGTATGCATGGGGTCAAGTGAATTTTGAATGGTACATCAGATATTTTACTTGCATTCCTCCTATATAATGATATCAGTTATGTAGCACATGTTTCATATACTTTGTAATGACTGCTTATTTCTTGGTTGGCATCCATGATACGCAAAAACATTAATCGTTATGATGGTAGTTTTTCTGCTTCCTTAAAAATGAGCTTTTTGCAAAAAAAATCCTTGCCTAAACCTTGTGCCAAGATCCCTAGTTTATTTATGTCTTGTGAATAAAAGGGAAACCGAATGGATGAATACTTCGGGAAAAATGTCAATGACTGAAAAATGTTAATTGATTTGATAAAAAACTTGAAATTACACATATTTTGTTCATTTGATAAAGAGATGAATGCGTACATTTCAATTATTACCTGAACCAAGGACTCTATTATTAGATGCTTATTTTTTGGGGATAACATCTGTGTAAAAATTTACTTTGGTTCTTAGATGAGGAGTAGGAGAGAGAGAGTTGAAGGTGTGATGTCGAGTGCCTTGTCATAGTCATTTAATAGTTTTTTTTCTTTCCACAATGACTTATTTGTAAGACTGAAAGGAGAGTTTGGTTTCAGCTGGGAAAACCCTAAGTGGCTTAAAAGGTAGCTACAAATCTCTTTATATTCTATATCTGTTTTTAGTTTCCTTGTTCCTTGTTGGCACTTATGAGTGACCTGTTAATTGTCTTTGAAGTTGTCAATAATTTTGTTGATTTCGTACATAATGGTTGTGCTTGGATTAAGATGTGTGAATGAATGTCAGCAAGTTATCAACACTTTATACTAGGTGACGTTTTTGGGACCTATGTTGACTGTGTATTTTGATCTCATTGTAGTTTTGTATATCAATGAAGTAACAAAATTTTCTGTATTAAGATTGACACATTTTAAATTAAATTTCTGCAAATTGAAAAGTTTATTTTCTGCACAGATTGGCCTATAAACTTTGGAGATCAAATCTCATCACATGGTTTGTTTTTTAGTTCATCTTTCTCTTCATAAACATTACATCCATAATCAGAGAATTAATACATAAGTGATGGCTTTGCTATCAAAAAATTAAGTACTTGGATTTTACAATAATAATGACATAAACATAGTTTGCCAACGTTTGCAATTAAATATAATCTTAAGTTGAAGTATATCATACATCCATTCTGTTTTTAATTGATATCGCATCACATTTCAGAAATGAGAAAAGTTGTAGAGTATTTATATCGTGTTTGACTAATTCAATTTCATTTTATTCTTCAAATACAGCTCTCGTTAATGGGATCAGAGGTTCAATACGTGTTATTGATCTATGAGGCAGAAGAATTTTGTAGCCTTGTAAGAAACGGAGTGCTTTTGGATCATGTGTGTAGAGTACAGAGTTGCTATCCATCATTTACAGTTTGTTACCTCACAAATCGATTAATGTCTTATATCAGTAAGTGGTAAGTGAGCATTATCTTATTTCTTTGATAGTGCTGACCGATATTTCTAAAATTCCTTTGCTTAAAGTTTTTCATTTTTCTTCGTCTTTATGACATTTTTACCATTCTTCTATTTTACTTTTTTTAAGGTTCATCAGCATGCTGTGTTTTTCCCTAATATAAGCAAGCAGTGCGCATCTTGGAATTTACTATATATCTTTCATAATTCTCTAAATCGAGTTCTACTCTTGTTTATGCCAGTTTTTGACCATTGAGTGTGTAATGTCAGTAACACCAGGGCGGGTCATCAAGCTTGAGATTGCTTCTTTTTTACTTTTATCCCTTGCGCTATCATTACTGTGTTGTCATCTACATCCTTCATGATTACTGTGCTAATTTATCCTTTCTTTGAGATTACCGTGCTAATTGATCTAGTGAGTGTTTTCTATGGAAGTGTATGCTATCTTAACATTTATTTCATTTCTAGGGAACAAAGCCAATATAAGAATAAATCAAATGTTGATTTTTCTGTGCGACCACCAGTCGAAGAGGTTGGTCCATCAAGTTTCTAGCGTTTTAATATTTTTTTAATATTTTCCTTTCACATCTATTTCTAGCGTTTTAAAATATCGAAGTATTTTCTTTACAGGTTTTATCAAAACTAACTACTCATTTTACTAGAGTACATTCAAGGCTTTGCATGGATGAAGCTGATGTTGCTGACCACATTGTTGGGTTGACATGTAGCCTTGCAACTTGCCAATTTAGGTGAGGTCTATAAATTGGATGGAGAATTGAGGCATATTTCCTTATTGAAAAGCACATTCAACTCTGAATATCATTCATGTTCTACTTCTGCATATGGCTGGCGTTTCAAACCAAGTCTGTATAACAGTCTCCATCTTCTAAAATCTTGGGGCATTCATTCAACGGCATTGATCTTGAATTTTTTAATATGAAATTTTCAAGCTATTTTATAAAAACTGTGATAAGAAGGGTTCAAGAAAATGACACTGTTTGATTAAATGCAGAGATCTCATCTCTTACTTAAGTGTATATTTACAAAATTGGTGATTGATTTCTGCTCGGGGATTGACAGAAACAAAAATGATGGTGACAAATGGTTGTAGACAGGTGACAAATGGTGAAAAATGGTTAGCAAGAGTAGTATGGACGATGATGGCTCTATTTGGTCGGGATGTTAGTGACAGGTGATGATAACGGGTGTTTGGATATGTGGGTAAGTTTGGCGCCACCAGAAAATAGCATGTGGTTTTGTTTAAGTGAGTAGTGGTGCAGAGTACTGTTGTCAAGGCGCAGGTACCCTTGACTCCTAGGTGCCTAGGGAATGCTTTAATCTAATCTTTCTCCGAAGTTTCCAGTCGACCATACACATGCATATCTACATTTATTATGTATACAAATTTGTCTATGGTTGTAGATGGGGTAATGGGGAAAATTTTAACTAATCGCTATTGAAATTAGTGAGCCATCCTTCTCCCAGCCTCGATCATCTAATGAGACTGGTCGTGTAATCATTACAGGAGGAAGATTACGCGACTATCTGTGAATGCTAATGGGTCACTCGTTTCCAAAGATTTCATCGACCGACGTCTGATTAAAGGGAATGTTTGGTGAGTTGCCTTATGTATTATTTTCTAATGAATCATGCTCCCTCTTGTGTTGGCGGAAATAGGCTGCTTCCTTGGAGTAGTGCAACTTTTGATGGTATTTGTTCTGAAATATTTGCCCCGTAAGTCCTAAGTTTCGTGCCTAATATGGAATTCTTTTCGGCTGAATTGGATTGAAGGGCCCAACAAGTGCCTTTCCGGTTACAAGAGTTCAGCGGGGTTTTTTAGTCTTGCTCTTTCGGTTTTATCTTTATTTATTCTGTTTAGATCTTGCCTAAATCCTTCCATGTTTATTCTGTTTAAATATTTATGCTATGGACGAATATATCTGATTCAGATGATGATTGCTTTACCATATTTTATTCGTTCATACTGCTGGGCTTCAGTTCGGGCCCGGCAAGGCGCCAGTTTTCTCCTTGAGATGGATCAAAGGGTTCACTCTCGGTCCGAATTGCACGCAGGCTGAAGGCCTTGGTGGCGATCCCCAAAGTCCAGCCGCGGTTCGCCGTCGCCATCTGGAAGAGATACCCGACCATGAGATCCCTGCTGGACGTCTACATGGACCCCTCGAAGCCGGTGAGTAGTGGCCAAAAGAAGAGAGGGTGGAGAATGCATTCTGCTGAGAGTCATTTTGGCCTGTCTTTCAGGTCCACGAGAAAGAGTTCCTGCTGCAGGGGCTCCCCGTGGAGGGGCTGCTCGGCGGGGAGGGGAGGAGGCTGGGCGAGACGTGCTCAAAGAGAGTGTACAGGGTTCTCATGGCGCAGAACGGGGCCGTGATGACCGATGATGCCGAGGACGGCGCTGATTTCTTTGGTCCCTGATCGATCATCTTTTCTTGTGATATGGGATGCAGCCTAAGTGTCCGTCCCCCTCCCGGGCGCGGCCCGTCGTCGGCTTCAGACGTCAGCCCTGGTGGGACCTCTCCTCTCTCCCCCGCCCCCCCGATCGCACGTGCGTGTTAACACCCCACGGGGACCTCGGGCTGGGCTTGGGCTGGAGAGTCTCGGGCCTTTAATAGCTCCATATACTGGAGTCAGCCTCCAACGAGGCAAGCCTAATGGGCCTTATCCTGAGACTGGCCCACCAGAGCCCGGGAGACTGGAGAGAATGATAAAATCATCGATACTGGACGATTTCCGACTTTCGGTATCGGTACATTGTCACGTGCTCCATCGTGCGAGAGCCGTCGGTGGACACATCAACGTGCCCCTTTCTCCGCACACGTGCATAGACTGCGGAATGGTTGATGTGACACGCCCGAGGGTAGTCTCCTGGGAGACCGACAGGGAGCAAGGCGCAACCTCAGCCATCCGATGGAGATCTGGTCCACGATGCGAGATCCACCTGGCGGATGCTGTCCCCGTTCTAGCCCTTGACCCATGTGGGGGGGTGGACGGACCCGTTGAAGGTCATGCACCACCGACAATGGCCCCTCCCCTCCCCCGGTCGTCTATTAAACTTGTATTTAAGTCTCCATTTAATACAAATGATAAATATTGACCCAACATAGCATATAAAAATAATGACGGGAGAGCCGTATAAATGGGCGGTGATATGATTTACTGTAGTGATAAAAAGTTGATCGAAATCCGCGGCGGCGTTTCGCTTTCGCTTTCGCTTCTCCTTCGCTGGGGTTAGTCATCTCGCTCTCGCCCAGATTCGAAATTTGAAACGGGGAAAGCGAAAGGCCCCCATTTTCATACAAGGAAGGAGATAGTGATTGAGGAGAAGCCGATGATAAGGCCGTCCTTTGCTCTGTGATCCTATCTGTCTGTACATTGTACATGGATGGTCCTTACTTTCCCTGTACCAGTAGCGATGATCTCTGGGCGGCGCCGTCGTGCCCCTTTCCGCTTTCTTCACTTTTAGGGTTGATTGATTGCCCAAATCATGGCGCCGATCGACGGTCCGCTGCTGTCTACTCCGCCCCCGGCGAAGAGGGGCTACTCCTATCGCGGCAGAATTCGTATCCAGCGGTGCCGGGGGGGGGCTTACCTATGGAGAAGTGGGCCAGCTGCCCCGAGGCGGCGACGAGGTTCTCCTTGCAGAGGAACTCCTCGCTGCAGACCTTCTCCACCTCCCTCTCATAGTCGTGGACGAAGACGTCCGTGGTGGAGTTGAAACCCCCACGGCCGCCGCTCCTCGCCATGACGGCGGCGGTGAAGATGGCCGACATCCGCCCTGGGGCTGAGGGGCTGTAGCCCCTAGGGCCGTCTACTACGATGACATCCCAGGACACATCGTAGAGCTGGTTGGGGAGATCGTTGATGGCCAGCCTGCAGTCGGAGAAGAGGAGGTTCTGGACCGGCCGGCAGTCGCCCTTCCTGTCCGCCCGCGCCGCCGCCAGCAGATCTGGGAGCTCGCTGACCTTGGTGGTGTACCCGACGTCGTACGCCTCAAGCAGCCCCTGGTGGCGCTCTTCCAGGCGGGCGACGAAGTACTCGTTCTCGTCGAGGAAGACGGTGCGGCCTCCGCGGTTGAGAGAGCGCCAGAGGAGGGTCTCGTGGCCCATGCCGAAGACCAGCAGGTTGCAGGGCCCGTGGCGGCGGAGCGTCGCGGCTACAGCCTTCACGTCGGCCTCAGGCATCTTAGATCCGGCGGCGGCGTCAGCGGTGGCGTAATGGAGGAGCGCGTCGAAGAGGTCGCCGGGGAGGCGGCGGGATGGGAAGCCGGGGAGCGGGGAGGAGGGGGAGAGGGTGGTAGAGGGTAATGTGGCGTGCTTGTTGAAGAGGGAGACTATCGACATGAAGGTTAAAAAGGCGAGGACGACCAGCAGCCACAGCCTGTGGGGGCTGAGCAGGAAGATCCCGCCGCCATGCCCGCCGCCGCCTCCCTGCTTGCTCAGCGAGGGCTGTAGAACGATCAGCTTCGTGCCCCCGAGGCCCTTCATCGCCCCTTCCCCAAGCCTTCCTCTCGTCGAGGAGATCTGCCTGCAGAGGAAAATGGTAAGGGACGTGGGGGGGATGCTGGCGGAGCTTAGAGATTTATAGAAAGATCTGGAGAGAGAGAGAGAGGATGGAAGAAGAAGGGAACTCTGTGTGTAGGGGCTGATCTACAAGTTTCCTCGCCCACGTCCGCTGATGGCGCGATCTTTTTCTTAAATTAATTGACAACATTTAATTTTATCTTCATATCGCCCACGTCCCCAGTCCTAAGTTTCTGGACGTGTTACTTTTATCTTCAAGTCCACCTGACCCGCCCGTACGGAGACTCGGACGGTTCTACCCGGGTCGCCGAGGCGCCCACCAGCGCTAGGCCGATTCCGGTTCCTTCTGTATCATTATAAAATATAAATATAAATATAACTATAAATAGAGAGAGAGAGCGAGAGAGAGGGGGATACCATGGAGAGATATCAACCGGCCGGGCCCCGTTCTTTTCGGGCTCGTATTTTACATAAAAGCCCGTTCTCTCTCTCTCTCTCTCTCTCTCTCTCTCTCTCTCTCTCCAGGATAGTTTGCATGTTGGCTCTGGGCGTGCGGAGTCCGCGCAACGCAATTTAGGTCGATGCCCGGAGAAAAATGGCTCTTTTACCGGGCTGTCGGCCCGACCCGGCCTGGCCCTAAAATGGGCGTCAATATATGATGGAGTCAGTAGAGAAGTTGGGTTCCGGGGCTGGCGACCGGCGCCGCCACTGTCCATCCTTTCATAACTCGAAAAGGGCTCTCCTCATCTTTGTAATTTGGGGGTTCTTTATTAGGAAGGCGGGTTCTAGCTCACCAACTCTGGGAGTAAGACGAGAGAGGAATTCATTCCTCTGGCTCACCGACCGGAATTCATTCATCGTGGTACCGTTTCTCTCTCTCTCGTTCGTTCCCAGCCAGGTGTTTCGACAGTCCTTATGCATATGTATGCGTGTCGTTATTGGCGACGTCACTGCAACCCCCTTTGTTACACCGCATTTTATACATAGAGAGAGAGAGAGAGAGAGAGAGAGAGACGGGTAGGTCGCTTGCTCGTAACAGAAAGACTTTAATCACGGCACTTTAAATGCGATTGACGAGTTGTTACACTAGTAACTGTCCCATTGGAGGAGTTGTTATGCTACTGAGGGTTCTTCATCGCTACGAGAGGGAGAGAGAGCGTGAGAGATTAATGGGTTGGTGGGAGACAGATGGAATCAGTAGAGGGAGGGGGAGAGAGAGAGAGAGAGAGGGAGACGCACTGTAGTGGATAGGTAGCTCGCATTATTTTTCCATAATGAAATAATTTAATAAATAAAATAATTCAAAAATGACATGCAGCATGAGTTTAGTTATAATGATTGGGGGAAAGTCAAAGTGTTTAGATTGACGCTAAGTTCCTTGATCCATGTCCATAAATGACATGGGATGTTGCTCTCAATATCTCACCTCATATTCAATCAATGAAGAGTTGGGCTGGCATATAGGTTTTACGAGTTAGAATTGGTTAATACCATGACAACAAGTAGAGGATCTTTGATGGATGATAAAAACTCCTCTACAAAGTAAAATAAAAATGAAGGTAAATTCAAAATAAAAAAAATATTATCATCAAATTCTTACTAATGATTTCAAGAGAAAATGTTGCTTTATTTCTCTCTAAAAGTTATGTAGTATATCGATCTACCCAAGAATATGTGTAATCGGAAAGTATTGGGAATGCATGCCCTGATTTCAATGACTACACTAAGGCTTTTGAGAGTAAGTAAGACAAAAAATAGGCTTTCCCCCATATTTAATGTTGAGCGACCACCCAATTGGCTAACTCTTTGTTGTTGATTAATAGATCTATTCATTAGAGAGAATAGTGTCCACTTTATTGTCTAGTTGAAATCAACAAGAGAAGATGGTATGACATTCTAGCATGATGGTGATGCTTGTGCTAGGAACAGTTTGAGAGGATGACTTAAATCTTCTTGTAATCAATTAGTTTTTGATCTTCAAACCTTCTCTGATAAGTAGTCTTCTGTCTTCTAATAGTTTCTCAATTTTAGAGGATTTCCAACATTCAAAAGTATCATTCAAATAATTACCATTTTTGGGAATATGCAGTAATAACTTTTGGATGTTCCAAACATCAAATCTTCTTATCCCTTTGTCTTTTTTCAAATTCAAATTTAAATTAGAGTTTTTTAACTTTATGAAGAGCAGTTGAATGTTTATTTCAAATTCAAATCATCCATTTACTCTGACTTTTGTCCGCATAAGCAAGTGACTAGCACTATTGAGATGTTGTGCTTGAAGTTTGAATATCTCTTCCGCTTTCTAACTTTTTTGCTAATTTCATCCATGAGAGATCTTAGGGAACATATCTATTATCATTTTAAAATGTTAAATTATACATAAGATTACTAGAGAAATATATAATCAATAGATAAGATAATTCTCCCAAATTGCTTCTATGCATTTAACCATATAATTATCATTTTATTGAAGGATGATTCTTCAACTCATATCATTTACTTATCAAATATTCCTAAAATGAAGAATCAATTAATATCAAGGATTAATACCACATACTTAATTTCTAGTGATAAGATCATTAAATGAATAAAAATAATTCATATAATAACTATAATGAACATATTGAACATTTGAGACATAAATGACCATTAATATTAAATAAATTAATATTATATTTTTTTCACTTGTAATTATTAAAACCAAAGGCATCAAAACTTGTACTTCGATGGAACTCTAATGATTTAGAGAACTTAGAAAAGGAAAAAAAATTGCCTTAGAAAAAAGGCATGCATACAATATGAAAAGGAGCTAATGCAAGGATCATGACAGATATAGCCAACAAAAATAATAATATCATTTCACCTTAAGTAGACAAAAACCTTCCTCACATAGAAACTTTCATATTATATGCTCTTAGGAAAGTTTTAAAGTTTGATGGTAATACATTTTATTCTGTGAATTTTAAAAGTGAGTTTGTTGGCCTCTTATACATGTGAATCTAGTAGAGATTTTTCACAAAAATATTGAGTGTTGATTACCTAGAGTTGTGAGTTAGAAGAGAGTTTTAGGAAGAAACTCAAACTAAGTTGAGGTGTGAAATATGGTAATTGATTGAAACCTATAGTTTAGTAGAAACACAAGGTTAATGGGATCCAACAACAAATATATTCAAATGTAGAATAGGCTGTGTATGTTAGAGCATTAATTGAATTCTATTTGGATGACAACAAACACATAAAATCATTAAATGCATCAAATTATACTATTTACTCATAATATTAAAAGGTGTAGATACTTATAATATTAAATATTAAATTTTGATAAATTTTATTTCTCAAAATGATTACTTTATTTATTACTATAAGTGTTAATATTAAAAAATAATACTAATGATGAAAATAATTGATCAGCACATCAGAATCAATGAGAAGGTTAATGTAAAAGATAAGTATCAAAGCTTTCTCAGTCTACTAGATGATTATGATGTGTAAATCGCTAGTTGTGACTTTTCTTGATATAAAATTAATAGATTGAATATAAACTCTTTGCATCATAACTCTAGATATTTCAAATATTGATAAATATCAATTATAAAATAACGTTGCTGAATTATATGTCATCAAAGTTATGATTTTTTACATCGATATAATAATTTAATGTGTCTATTAAACATTTTTTATTTATCTAAGGTAATTTGGATGATTTTTGATTGAGAAATTATTATTTTATTTCAAGATGCATTATTGGTTCTATTTCAATGGATACTAACAAGAAGTTTTTGAATTGATAAACTTTAGATATATGTATTGGTGATAAAATAATTTTAGTTGATGTTGAAACCATTAAAGTCATGTCATCTGGTTTTCAACTATTCGAATTTTTAACTAATTTTGTGATTTTAATGTTAGGAGATAATGGAAAATAGGGAAAGCTTTTAAATCTAATTTCCCTATAAATTAAAGATATATGCAACTAGTAATAAGTTCTAAGCAATCACTTTTTATGTCTCTACCATCTCACAATTCTTGCTAACAATTTGTACAAAGAAATATATGTGAATTTGAGAAGTCTTCAAGCTTGGCCAAATGATGAGTAGACACCATGTGAAGAAGTGAAATTCAGGTGATCAAAGCAAATGGAAATGTCTACTACAATCATATAACTTTCCAACCATAAGATCATAGAGAAAATTAAGCATAATTTATCATCATATATATTAAATTTTTGGATATACTCTTAGTCAATACCAACATCTAGAAATATCTCATGATAAAATTCATGCTTATATTTGTGGAAATGACTTATGAATAATTTTTCATTTAATCATTCAAAAGAGCTGATCTCTATTATAAATGTTGAGCTCCTAAAATCATTAATTTAGAAGAAAATTTCAGAGTAAAATTCTATAGGAGTTGAACTGAGTAATAATAAGTTGTGTTGTTAAATAATTGGTTTAGTTGAACATAAGAATGTGGTGTTCTAAGAGGGTGAATAGAGGTAGGGAGTCAAACCATTATAAAAATATTTGAGTGTTTGATATTTAGATCTAGAAAGACATAAGATTTAGGATAAGAGAAATAGATCAAATAATTTTCAAGAGGGCCAAAAATTAAAGCTAGGATTTGATTAATTCCACTTCTATTATTAACCTAAGTGTAACCTAAAATCCAACTAGTGATATTCAAGTTTAACTCTGCACATAAGAAATGAATTTATCTGAGGAGTAGATCCTAAAATGGCCTGCACCTCAAGAAACAATATGGAGGGGAGTATAGTACAAAAATCCCCATTGTTAAGTATATTGAAGTTTTATTTAAAAAGAATAAAGATGAAAATGATTACATAAGAATTATTAAATGAATTATAAGAGATTATAATTAATGGTCCTTTGAAAGTTAAGGATAGTGAAGGTGATCAATATAAGAAGATTCTCCCCTTGAATGCAAGAGCCAAAAAATGTTGA